ACAGCATATTATTCCTTCTGACCGACGCCACTGTTCGTTAGGGTAACTTCGGGAAATTGTCTGCTGGAATTTGGCTGCTAACTTTACACCGATTCAAATGGAAGCGTTCAGCCAGCGTAAAGCGATCCAGCGCTTTTAGGCTGAATAGCAATAGCCATATGAGATTGTCAGTTTGACAGTAGTTTTCACTTGGCTGTCAGATTTGGTAGTATGTTGGTTGATGTTGCAAGTTGTCAAAAATATTCCATCACTACTACTATTCAGCACAAAAGGGCTGCACTGCTGGACCCCTTCACGTTGGCTTAATGGTACCAAAATTCAGTAGCATAGCAAATCTTTTGTTACTATCAATAACCGACCATGCGGCGCAAATCTTAACGCTATCTTCCCTTATATCCTCCAACAACTTAAAGTCTCCCGTCCAATCTCATGCTGTGGGGAAAACTGATAATAGTAATCTCGAAGAACTGCGATTAAGTATTTCTCAAGAATCTTGAAGAATATTGAAGAGACCGATATAGATGATGCTTTCAAAAAATTCTTCAAACCCTTTCTGTGGCATTTCGATAGGACATGTCCTCAGAAAGTTATTACGAGCAGACCTTTAACAAAACCCAAATCATGGATAACACCGGAGTTAAGACAGTCGAGCAACGATCTAAGAAATTTGTACAAACTTACACGAGAGAGCGAGCCAGTGGCGGATCTAAAAAGGGGGCGCGGGGGGCGTCTGACACTTGCTTTTGTAATCTAACACCACTGTGTTACTTTCTGACACATCATGGCGGCAGTAGCATACTAACTATAAGTTATAGCTATAGGAACTCAGCATTGCGATTTTTTGATATCCTTTAGTATTCCAAATGCTGACCCTCTTTGACATCACTTGTTTACAGCACAATTCTTACGATTTTCTTACGAGTATTGTGGCAAGTCTAAGTATGGGTACCTAATATATTAGCTATACAGATTGCACTAAAATGGTGATTTATGTTCTGTTTATTGCTCAACACGAATTTGAAGAGTGTGTAAAGCTTGAATGATTTTGTTCGGGATTGGCGTTGCAGCGAAGCAGTATGTCAGATGAACGCCTAAATTGGAAATAGACATTTATGAGATTTGTTTAGCAGTGCGCCTGTGGCCTGTCCAGAAACTGCGTGGATCGATGCTCAAAGTCAATACCACACGTCCCGCATCTCTTCTCGCGTATGCTATTTATGTTGTTATGTTGAATTCGTTTAAGTCACGGAGCTGCTGCACTACACGTGAATATGTATTATGTACAGCCCTTATATTCCTGTACTTGTTTCGTACAAACATACATTATCAAAATAATTACGATCTAACAGATAGTTTTTTCCATTGATTTCCAACATTTTTATGTGCGATCAATACCGGTTTTAAAACTGAGAAAACAACAACTATGCCGTAAATGTAAGTTCGACAACGAGAGTCTGAAAAAACCCCAACCCCTACTGAGCGGGGCCGTGGCAAATGCTTGTTCCGGAAGTTGCTGTATCCAGTATACAACTTCTTCCCGTTCAAGTGATTGTACACGCGTTAAGGAATACCTCAGTACCGACTGTCGGGTGGCGGTACAAGTCCGCCAATGAGCCAATTTAGGTCTATTTAATATCATTAACACGCAAAAAGAAGGTGGTAGATAAGGACCAGTCGACCGAGGCGGTACCACCCGCTAGCTTTTCCCATTGTGTCTTATAAATGTCCGCATGTTTCCACACCTAAGATATGCGGCGGTTATCTTCCAAAACAAAGAAATTAATGATGGTGGATCCCTCGAGTACTAAGAATTCCGAATGTAAACTCACTCCATTCACGGAATGGACGGGTGGAGGGTGGACACGAGGGAACATCGAAGATGAAATTTGTTTCTCGAACATCTGCGGGATTAACAGCAACATTGATGCTGTACGTCACTACTTGCAATCCAATCGTCCCGCCATGCTTTTCTTAGCGGAGACAAAAATCTCTGAGTCCGCACCGATTAACCACCTTAGCTTCCCAAATTACGAGGTGCACTCCAATCTGAGAAAGAACGGGGGAGTTGTGGTCTTTGTCCGCAGCAGTCTTTCCTGCTGCAGAGATGTTTCTCGGGAATCAGACCGGAAGGACATTCTGTGACTTCGCCTCAACTCCAAAACATCCCCACATCCCCCAAATTTATTTGCTGCCTTTATCGTTCTCCCTTGGACCATAACTGGGATGTCCTTCTTCAATACCTCGCCGTCAAGATCGACTTCCTGAACATCGGTCACCCCGCTTCAGAGGTAGTTCTCCTCGGTGATTTCAATGACCATAATTTGCTTTCGCTGGGCTCAAACAGGACCGATGCAGCAGTTGAAGCGTTCGGTCTTACTTAAGGGCTAACCCAGCTGGTGACGGGCCCTACTTCCTGCTGGATCTCTTTCTGACTCTGAATCAACCAAGCATTCATATTTATAAATGTGCCCTTTTCACACATACAAACAAAACAAAATTTTTACAGAACAATAACATCAACACACATTATATTACAAGGGCAGGTGAGAGTCTAAGTATTCCAACATTCCAACACTGACGCTGTTTGAAAAGTCACCACAATACACCTGCATTAGAATAACAAACAATATAACAAACTTTCAGCTAACCTCAAGAATGCATTGCTAGTTTTAAATGTCAACTAAGAAAATTATTAGTTGAAAAATGTTTCTACTATGTGTCTGAATATCTCGCTCTGCGATATATTTTTAGAAACTTTTTTATGTTTAAATGTTTGTACGTCTTAAGTTGTTCCTGTTTGTACTTTGTAAATACTTATGTTTTGTTTAATTTTTAATTATGTGTACTATTTACCTCCTCATAGGATGAGTCTTATGTCATTTTATGATCTACAAGGCAATAAATGTATCTATCTATCTATCTATCAATATTTTGTCTCCAAAACAGTATAGGTGCTCTGAGTAATTTCATTTCACGCATAGAAGCTGTGAAGTAAAGGAGAGTTTTATCAAGCACAAATACCACATAAGTAAACGTCAACGTTCACCTTTTTTGAAATTGTCAATGATTTATATGAGGTAAGAAACAAATAGGTTCACATTAACGGTTAAGTTTGCGGTATTTTGTGATTGTTAAAACTCTCTAATATGTTTTTGCGTGGCCATCTAAGTTTCTCCACGCAGCGCCCTTAGAATCCGTACTCATTGCTACCATGGCTTCCATGAGAATTGAAGAGAATAACCGTTATTCTCTGAGTTTAACAGCTTGACATGATCACGTTCCATCGGTACCCGAAATTCAGATCAAATTGAGAATATTTAAATACATGCACTGATTTTTATTTTCCTCTACGTGCAAAAAATATGATTGACTGTATCATATTTGGAAAATGCATATAAAGAACCTATTTCATCTATTGAAAATGTCATTTTACTAAAGCAGATTGAGAATACTAGGGTGATTCAAATTGAGTTTCCACATTACAAATCATTTTTTTTAAACGCCACTGAATTTGTCAGCGACAACGTGCCATTTCTAACATCAAAATATAAACAAAACAGTCATGAAGTAATATGCGACCGAACAACGTGTTAAAATTATCCAAGCCTATAATCAAAACGGCCGATCAAGTTAGAATACATTTCGTGCTTTACGTGAATTTTTTTTCGCACAAAATCGGCCTTGTGAGAGGACAGTTTGGAATTTGGTGCAAAAATTCGAGCAAACTGGATCCGTCGCTAACACCAAAACCCCTAGGCGTGCTCGTAGAGGTCGGTCGGAATACAATATTGCTATTGTTGTCGAAAGTGTAGCCGAAAATCCAAGAACCTCGATTCGTCATCGATCGCAGCAACTGGACCTTACTTATTCCACTACACAGCGGATTTTAACAAAAGATTTGAAGTTACACCCATACAGAATCCAAATAACATAAGAATTGAAGCCTAGGTCACACATCAGGGGAAACGATACAATTACTTAGATTATTTTCTTTAGGGGTATTTCAAGAGCAAAGTCTACAAGAATAACCCGAACACAATTGCGGAGCTGAAACAGGAGATCAGACGCGAAATTACCAACATAGGACCTGATTTGTGCCAAGGAGTAGTCGAAAATTTCTCGAAACGGATTACGTCATGCCACATGAGCCGCTGCGGTCATTTACTTGATATCATGTTTCAAGCATAATTGTAATGAACTGCCCTAAAAGGACAAATACATACTTTTTTATAATTTTCAATTTCTTCTTTTTTTTTTGAATACTTTTAATGTGGAAACCCAGTTTGAATCACCCTATATATTAGCAGGGAGTGTATACCTTGGGTGCCCACAGGATTTTGTCTCAGGGGTCCGTTCATCGGCAAGAGACAACTTTTTGTGAAAGTTTGTTTGCCCCCAAAAGTTTTTGAAGAGCGGGAGGTTTCGCATCCTAGAAATCCTCAAAATTGTACGCAAAACCATGTTATACAGGGTGTTCCTTAATGATATGCGAATATTTAAGGGTGTGAATCTACATGAAAAATTACTCAAAAATGGCCCATCGAAGGAAAATAATTCAAGAGAGATCATTTGTTTTAAATTGACCGGGGAATTAAAAAATAGTTTTTATTTGGCAAAAAACCATTGGCGTCAATACCCGTACGCATGCCACTGTTAAAGCTAAAAATTATTGTTGCATTGAAAAATATGCAACTTTATCAACTTCCATTACGTACTAAATATCAGTGAAATATCTGAAGCGGTTCGGAAAATATTAATTAATTCCCATTTTTTTCCTAAAACCTCAACACCCCGAGTTTTTGTAAGGAAACATTTTTGGACCATAGTTTATAAAGCAAACTAACATTAATTTTTCATGTAGATTCACACCCTTAAATATTCGCATACCATTAAGGATATATATGTGCAAATCCTAAGGTACATCCCGATTCCTAAGAGAGGCCAAGCTCCCCTGGCCTCCCACTGCGGGCGCCCATGTAGTCTATGTATATCTTACTTACATTGGACAGTAATTGCAGACATAGTTGTAGAAAACCTTTGGGCTGAATCTGCTGCTAGGTTCATGATTGCATTTCGCGATTCCACAACCAACTTCATGAGTTGAAGCCCACACCATTTGAGTATAATGACCGATTTCGTGAAGCTCATTTCTTCCACCGTACCTGAATATGTTTTTCTCCAACCACCAAGTTTCTATAGCAAATAACCTGGAAAAATATTCGAGAGGTCTGATTCTGTATTCCTTCCAGTAATCGCTGGGTGCACGATGCACAACATAGGGAATGTCGGACTGAAAAATTTATGCTGGTGGATATTAATGATAGTAATAACATTTCAATATCACAATGTCAATTCCTTTTTGATCTGACAAATGATGTTAAGGTGCGCGGCGATCGATTCAGTTCCTCCCACTATGCACTTTGCTTCGGGAGAATGATGATTTATTTATTTTTTTAAAATAGTATTGAATGATGATACTAAAAAAATCCGATTTGTATATATCAGAAATCCAACACAAAGCCCTATCAGTGCAGTAAATAGTATATTCCTAAACGTTAATTCTACTCCTAAAATACATAAAGATGCATACTAAAATGTACTGAAAAGCCAACAATGGTTTACGTCACTAAACAGTTTTCAAATATGTCAAAATAAGTAAAAGGGCTAACCTCGTTAAAGCAATTCTATATCCTATATGAAAGGGATGGTAGCATACTATTCATAAAATCTTTTGGTACACAAAACATAGTGAAGTTCCTCCTATTCGACCTAGGCACTCTAATGTTTAAATTGGTAAAAATCTCACCACAGTCAATCCAATTGCTTAGCAACTTGTGCCCAAAGCAGCAACTTGACAAAAAACTTCGGTGTTCAAGACTAATCATGCCAAAGAGATCTAAAAAATTCTTCTTTTGATAGGTGAATCCAGTATATGCGCCATATGGTATGCTTTTAAATACAGATATTTTTTAAAAATCGTTTGAATTTGAATTGAATTGCATTTGCTGGGATTAAACATCAGATCGTTATTCTGGCACCAGTCAAGAATTCTGTCTAAACTTTCCTTCAAAAGCTCTGACCTGTTTTGTCGATGAATTGCTGAGTAAATTTTTAGGTCATCCGCAAACATTTGATTTTCTACTGTCATTATGAGGTTGATATCACTAACAAAAATAAAAAATTGTAGGAGACCCAAGTTAGTGCCTTGTGACACTCCCGTTGCTAGTGTGTATAATTCAGATTTGAAGCCGTTATACTGCACAAATTAAACGCGTTCAGATAAATACGAAAGGGAAAATACCAGAAAGCCTTCACAAAATCCAAATTTATACATTTTTAAAGCAAAATGGAGTGGTTTATTCGATCAACTGATTTTGAGAAACCCATAAATATAACATCAACTTGTTGTTTGTTGATCTACAGCAAGCGATAGGATTGTTCAGCGTTTAGCCTAAGCAACATGTGAATGCTATAGAGCAAATAATAATATAAACAGCAATGGCGTCAACGCATCCGTTTTGGCCGAGCATTAAGCTCACTATAAAGGTTGTCATTGATGATCACCTCAAATGACTTTGAACAAATTTTCAGGAGCATTCACCATTCGCACTGGCACCAGATGGAGCAACGTGGCCAATTATGGTATTATTGAATGTTTTGCTTTCAGTCTCAATATCAGCAACCGCAGACAGCGCTGTTTCGTGCTTATTAGCAACTCATCAGTGCAGTATAGGTCTAGTAGTCCTGGAGACAAACGAACGGAAAGCAAACAAGTAGGTATGGTCTTTTGAAAAACTCAAAACATTGTGCCAAAGTAGATGAGAAATCAGTTGATTTCCACCTACCAATGGGTTACCAAGCTGCTCTTCATCCTCATGAGGATGAGGAGCACGTAACTAAAAATAATTATATTGTTAAACGTAAGCGCGATTCTAGTATTCGGTTCAAAAGGACTCGCTTACCATGGTACCTTGTGGGATGAAATGAAGATGTTCTGACCACATGCTCCATAGTTTGGATCATATCTTCCAGTTTCGTTGTCGTGCTCTAACACCAAGCATTGATCTGCCCATCTTTGGGCAGTCCGCGCTGCCCCTGTGTGCCATTTCTGCAACACAAAGTTCGTTTTTTTAATTCGCAGTCTGGTAAAATGAGGCCCATACCGACAATAAAATTGCATGCGCTCAAGGGTTTACAAAAGTGGATTTTTGATTAGCACGCTATATAGTCCTTCCAGTTAGAAAAAATAAGTTTTGCCTAGTTCAATTCGCCGTAGGACTATTATCCTCAAAAAAAAAGAATGGAAATAAATACTTTGAAAAAATACGGTCCAAACTAAAAACCCGTGTTTTTTCAATGTGGTAGCACAAGCAGTAAACATACAAGGAAAACAAGTAAAATTTTGGAAAGAGCACTTCGAAAAATATATAGAAGCAATGAGCGTTAAAGCTTTTTCAAAACAGTCCAAGTAATGCTAACAAATCATTGAGTAAACGAGTTCCTCTATATTCACGACCGATGAGGAAATATTAATTACATAAATAGTAGGAACTTTTCCTTAGTTTATATGTCATATATGGCTATTTTTACTGTAGAAACACCCGGAACGGTGATAACCGTTGTGTGTTTTGGGTGCACACTCTCTAATTCAGCCCAGGATACAAAGAAAAAAATATAGTTATTTCGTGTAAAAGAGTTTAACAGTTATCTAAACGTTTTAACTGAAAGGGGGGTCTTTCTAATGACAAATGCATAAAAAGATACAGCCAGATATGCGTTGTTTTTTATAAACAAGTGGGAAAATCTCAAAATTCAGTGTTTTCCTTGTATAATTTCCAAATTAAATTTCATAAATAATCGGTAAGCTGGAGATTTTAGAGCATAAGATCTACAATTTTATTTTTTAAGAATGAGAATGCATAAACATCTAAGCTAAATACGGGGCTTTTTAGCAGTATTGAATAAATGTTTATAACTATTGCAACAACAATGATAAATAGCTAAAAATTTGTGAGAATGAGAGCATCATTGGTGTTAATACATGTGCTAAATTTCAGCCGGAACGGTTTAATAATTTATGTAAAAAGCTAATTGTTTATCCCACAGACGAATTATTTAAGCAACTGTTCTTGCCCAAGATATACAAAAGTGGAATGGATTCTTGAAGGTTTCAACTTAAGAATTTATGCAAGAAATTAATTATTTATTTAAAAATTGTTGTTAAAAATTATGTTAAAACATAGCCATTTTTATAGTTATAAACATTTACAACAACTCCATTATTTTTCAATATAATTTATTTTAACAACTATTTACGTTCATTTGAATTTTACTAGACTGTGCTCCAACCATTTAAATGGAATAAATAAATTATTACAACAAAACGAATTCAAATAAAATAAATATAAATGAAAGACAAACGTGAATCAATATTTTTTAGTGTATTTTGTTAAGACTACACCAATTAACTGAATTATGGATTGTTTAAACAATTTTATTGTGCAATATAAATTATTTCATTAGAGTGAGAGTAAAAATAAATGATTTATTGTTAATTTATTATTATTTCATAGTAATTTAATTTTGAAGCATATAACGTGTTAAGCTTTCCGGGATTTCCTGATTTTCCAGGAAAATGAAAATGGGCGAGACGTCATTATTTCGTCGAGTAACATCAAATTAAAAAAAAGTAGGTTCTGTGTTGCTTAAGACCTTTAAAGTAATAGTAAAATTATAAATTGAATCATAAGATTAAGATCCTTGATTGAAATCTGTGAAAAATTCGAAGGATAGATATGCATTAAAAAAAATATCTTGGCTCCTATTCCTCGACAACTTTTTAAATATGCGTTTTTTAAGCATCTATCCAGATTAACTTGTTAATATAAATTATACTGAAACATAATGGGAATATTGTAAATGTTTGTAACTATAAAAATGTATATTTTCAACAGCAACTGTGGAATAGATAATCGATTTTTTCGCCTTTTTTTATCTAACCTGGACTAAATATGGTGGTGCAAATGAAAATTATAATGGATAACAGATATTCACTTTTAAGCTCTCCAGACAAAACAATTAAATAGTTGAACGTATAGTTGGACGTATTTTTCTAATTTTCTGTCCTAGCTCTGCCGCAAGCGATCTTCAAAAATTAGAAGTTTGTAGTCAGAATCCGAGCAGTAATTTCCAAGCACAAAAGTCGCCAAGGAGTAGCGTACTGGTATACTGACAGACAGACAGAACCACCGATGGAAATGAGTGTCAAATATTTCTGTAACCATACATATATTTAACCTAGAATTTCTAAACGATATACGACATACTTAAGAACGCACCATCTTCAGCATATTTGCAGCTGTTGGCCTAACTTTCGACCTGAATGCATTATGGTAAATGACTATCTTCTGCTGAACTCTCATCCGTCTTGGGTCTAAAGAAGTTAATGATATTTTGTCTCCCATCAATCTAGGACCTAAAACATAAATGCGTTTTTGTTCCTTATACACTTGCAACTTACCTCAGAATCACTCGTCTGTGTTCGTTCAATAATTTTAGGACAAACACTTCATATAAAAGTTCATATAAACATAGGTCCATAATTCCGTCTATTGTTTTCAAGTGCAAGGCTATCAAAGTTTTTGAAATAGGTATTGATTTTTCGTAAAAAATCCTAATTATTCTTCAGCTGCTTTTGTTGAAGTTTGTATTACTTTCGTCTGTACCAGATGTAAGGCTAGAACTTTGGATTAACACGAAAATTGAACCTCAAACCATCAAGGAAAAAAATCACGGATTGCCATGACGATTAATGGCCTTTAGGCGTGTGACTTAAATCATGTTAATTGAATTTTTGGCTGTATGTCTATACCTGATTTCAACTGTCAAAGGAAGTTTGAAACCCTGTATTTTGGGAAAGAAGCATTTCCTAATTAAATGCCAATATTTTGAAAGACGATTTTTGGCTCCATTTTAGGAAGGAACACTTTATATGTACGTATGTCCTAAACATCTTAACTTTTGATAAACCAGGTGGTAAGGCTTTCAATAATAGATCATTTATTATTAATATTTGTAATATTTATCTAGATATCTGGATTATTATTTTTTTTAATTTCCACCAGTGGCGTCCGTACGAATTTCACCTGCCTATTTTGGCAAACGGTGATAGTACTCCATTGGATTAAAAAAGTTATTCTTGAAATTCCCAATCATTTCTAAGCAAATTTGGTCACTTTATTTTTTCAATCCAATGCATGGTTTTTGCTTAAAAAATAAAAGTCGGTTCTCTGCATGATCATAACGACATCGTTAATATGACAATATCACCATGCAGAGAAATACCTTTTATTTTTTAGATGAAAACTCTGGATGAATACAGATTTCATTCTTTTAACTTTAAGTAAAGCTACTTTATTTTTAAAACCTCTACCGCCATGCATCTCAAAAGTTGAATCGTTTAAGACGCACGTTCATATGCAGTTTTCTTTGTAGAATGGACCTCAAATGTTGGCATTCAATTAGGAATTATCCTGTAATTTGTATTAAATGCTGCTTAAATTGCATGCACCTTATTTATTTAATTAATGTGAAATGCACAGCTGAGTTTGCACGAGTACATCAAAAAAATCCATACTTACGTCTCCTAAAATCAATTCTTCCGTATCCTTTAGCTTCATGTACTACTGCCATAACAATTGCTAAAATGTAGATGGTCTTCTGCGACATATCTGGTTTTCTGGAAGAAATAAGGCTGTACGTTAAAAAATATTTTTAAACGTTCCTTCGATATACGATGTACGACAATCCGAAAATAATTTTTTGAAAAGCTTTTTTAAGGAAAAATTTCGACACACTATAAGCATTGTGGTTGCGTAACACGATAGCCATGTGGTCTTTCTGCGAGCGTTTTCATAAGTTTTTTTGATGATTCCCTCCTAATTATTTTTTGAACGGGTCAAGTTAGCAATCTGAAATTTGGGGTAATGAAACTGGTCCATAAGAACCATGATAAAAGTGGCAGTTGGAAATTTCAGGATGGCGGTTGAGTGCCAGTTTTTTTAACATTTCTTTCATTTTAATGGTAGGTCGTGTGATACTTCATTCCAAAGCTCCTTATGAGTACTTTACAAAAAAGCAGTCAAAGATTGGCATTTTTGTACATTGAATCGCTTATAACTCAACAACTAATGAACAAAACGTTAAAATGCTATATCAATATTCTTCTTTTGAAATGGTCTATCTAAGGCCCGTATCGTCAGTCGTCCCTACAATTGTAGGGCGCGTTTATGGCCTCCTTGATTGTCATACTCCTTTCTTTCCTCGAAAAATTCCTAGATTACACTTGTCCCGTGTCAGCGTCAGCGCTCTCCTATTGTGAAGATATGTTCTCTTTTTAAATTGTAGGAAATTTCAGGCTCATAAAACAAGATATAACTCAAAAGCAAGCACAATTTGATGCAAATAGATGTTTGTGACATAACCTCAAAATAGAGTTCTGACACGCAGAAGTAGAAAACTATGACAATCAAGGAGGCCATAAAGGCGCCCTATAATTGTAGGGACGACTGACGATACGGGCCTAAATGTCCAATATTAATAGTGTCAGTCACAGTCCAAGAACTATGTTTCAGGCACATGGCAATTTTTCTGGGAGGTTGGTGGTACCGTCAGTGACCCAGTCATCCGTAAACTTTAAGCTCTGTTCAGTGGCAGATCCAGGGGGTGTCTAGGGGGTCAGGACACCCCCGAATTATCTGAGTTTAAAAAAATTGCATGTATTTCAATTTGCGACACCCCCTCCTTCAATTTTCAATTTGCGTTCCTCCCCCCCCTCGGGACGGGCATACTCCTGAACATGAATCTGGACCCCCCTCCTGAAAATATTTCCCAGATACTCCCCTGACTCTGATCATACTGTACCAAAATGATTCTCCAGACCGAGTGGTACCGATATAGTACAAATATTACGTCTGTAATTTGGCTAATTAGGTCGTTGTAATACATTTACATAAGCGGAGAATAATCGGTTTTACAAAGCAGGAGACTGCAGCACTGGTGTGAGGCGAACTTTTTCTTAACATGCAAATTTCGCAACAGACATGTGTATATCAACTAGGTCGGCTAACGTATAGGATAGAGAGCTTTTCATTCAAGTGATTGCTATTTTATTTGCCGGTCCGTCTGTACATCTTTCTGACAGTTAATTTATTTGTCTTTACCATAGTCATACAGTGACCTAAGACCGATCAGTTTGCTACCCGCACTTTCAAAACTCCTTGAAAAAATCATTTCTTTCCAGCTAAAAAAATATTTGTCTGAAAGCGATTTAATTCCTTAACAACAATATGGATTCAGAGAAGACTACATAACAACAACATCCCTATTGTCTGTAGTTGTTGATATTATCACCGCTGCAGACAGGGTTGATGCTAGTTTCATGTTACTCCTCGACTTTTCTAAAGCATTTGATAAAATTAATCATGATCTTTTAATATTAAAGCTAACATATTTAGGACTATGTGAGTCAAGTTTGAATTTCCTTCGATCATATATCATTGGTAGATTCCAGAGAGTGGTTTTAGGAAATGATTCTTCTGGACTAAGAGATTACATTTGCAGTACCGCAAGGGTCTATTCTAGGGCCGTTGCTCTTCACCATATATACGTCAGACATAATTAAAGTCGTCAAAAACTGTAATGTTATGACATACGCTGACGATACACGGATGAATCTTTTAATCCCCAAAATAGATTCACATTATTTGAAAGATCACCTCCTACATAAATAAGTTCTTTTTGTGTGTATGTGCTTGAAGATTTTTAATATCAATGTACATGAACTAAACTTCGCCCTTCCATAATGCAATGTCACTATAAATAATGACGATTAGTACTATTATTATCTTTCCGTCCCTGTAACTTATTTTGGTTGAGCTTAAATTATCATCGACAACAAGTTAATTGTCAATAAGATGGCGTTAAGTATATTATAATAAATTATGTTCGGCCGCAAGTTATCATCTTTCAGAAAAAAATTAACTATGAGCATGTGTAACGAATGAATTAAATGCATTTAGTCAATGCAGTAGTCTCATACAATTAGTTTTCCGTCCCCACTTATTTGACATGTAACAGCACCGTTGCAGTCACAGTTGCGATGAGTAAGCCAAGCCAGCGGCTATCTCGCGACAGGTTTATCTTATATTTTCGTTGCGCTTGATGGCGACGCGGGTGTCATTTTGCTCGTAAGTCCTAAGGGTAAATATACGGAGATGAAACATATCTAAAAGGTGCGTAAAATTACCTACATATATACATAGATATTTAAAAAAAATTATACTCCAGCTACCACGAAGGCCTAAAGCCTAAACACCCATGGGGTACCGTGGGGCTATAGGAGGATACAGGGGGAGGGGGGGACGCCACACGGACTCTGGCGAGGGAACACGCGTGCATGCAACATGTACACAGTCTGAGACCGTCTACCACATACGGACAATCACAGCATCCATAACCAAGAAAAAAATGTCTATCGGGACGGGATTCGAACCCGCGCAGAGCACGGCGACTGATTAGGAGACTGGAGAGTCGCTGCTGCCTAAAAAAAAATTGAGATATACAATATCCATCCCTTGCAACTTCACACCTGTATTTTTGTACCAATTAAAAAACTTATTCAAAGAAGAGCATTAAAAAATGATGTTTGAGCGTTTCTTTTTTTCGTAGTTCTTGTCCGTAGCTACGCCGTCACCGGATCGGGATATTCAAAAGCTACAAATCCTTTTCATAACTGGCATAGTAGAAGCCTTGTGTCAAAATCTGAGCAATATTTTTCATGTTATAGGGAGCGGACGGGCCGACACTCTGACAGACAGACAGACCGACGGAAAACACAACAAAAAACATATCTCATTTTCTAGACTTTTCACAATTACAATTTTTCCTCCCAATTGGGATATATAAGAAGTAAAGCATAAAACATTTAGATATGAAGGCAAAATCTAAATACCAAAGTACTGCAACTACAGAAATAAAGGAGTTAAAGAAACTTTTAAATGATGAAGATAAATGGAACCCAGCAAGGTCTCTCCGTGCGAATTCTTCCACTTTTTGGTGTGGTCCCAGCACCAGAAGTGCAGAGCTCGGCCGAGTTAGAATTAGAAACACAAGCCTACCGGGTTCATCTAGTAAGCTTAAAATCCGGCGAGTTGAGAAAGGCTCAGAGGAATAAATTCCGTTGGCTTTACGATAAATAACAGATAAATTATTTACTGTTTCATTGCAGGGACTCTTTTGTGCACTATTCATAAAAAAAGTAATTTATAGAGAGCTAAACTTGTTCCGAGACACAGGAAGGAGCTAGATGTAGAAACCAACTTTTGTATGACTGATGTTTATGGACCTCAAAGCTGGACATTAGATGAAGTTTTATTTATTTAAATTTCGATTCTTTCAAAAACACTTTAGGAATGTCTTTATGTTACTTTTGCTTATCGGTAAGTCTTGCGTCGACAAAAACTACAAAACCTCCGTATTTGAAAGTTTAATTCGTTATAATCAACGTTTCGAATTCATTAGAAAATAAAAGCGACAAGTCTAGGTCTGATATCAACTTTGTGGAAGGATGGGCATTTACTATTAGAATTAATACTTACCTTCTTTTATGCACCGTATTCTGAGAGAGGCACTAGCATTTTTTCCATTGCGCACATTATAACAATTATTGCTAATTTTTCGCTACTAAAGACAAAAGTTGAACCCTTTGCATCTCTTAGAAGCATGAATGCCCATATGGCCAAAAGTGAGGTGGGGCACATTGGCGGTCATGTTCAACAAGATTTTCGTCTTGGAGTGTGGGGGGTGTTACCGGCGATTGAAAATTGAATGCTCTTCAATTTAATAAAAAAGTTAACCTTGACATTCATATTTCACGGACTACAGCTTAAACAGCTTAATGAATTTTAACATATGAGGTGTTTCTAGATTTATTTGACAGTGCGAGTATACTAAATCTTTATAAAATAAAAATGATGGATTTCAAATGCAAACCTCAACTTTGAGATTTCTATTATATATATCAGGCTACAGCCATGGTTTTTGACATCTGATTTGATTTGTGTTGATAGCACAATAGAATCTTCATTATTTTCAGTTACTGCAGTCAAATTGTTTCTATTATTTAAAAATGTACATGTATCTTTATGGGCTTGAGCGTATGGGGGGAGGAAGCACGACACATATCTACATTTAAGAACTAGCAAAGGAATTTTCGAGGATGTTTTGAAAACCCAAAAACATACGTTTCTCGTTGCTTAAGGGTACCCTATTAGGTATACATTGGTTCTCAAGCGTCAGCCACGAGGGAGCATATGACCCTTGCCCTCCTAATGGGCACCCATGCTTACGGGGAAACCGACTCAGGTGTCTCCGTCCAATTTTGTCAAAATCTAAGACACACGGTTTTTTATATCGGAGGAAAACGTCTTTGAGAGTTGAAATCAACCCCCAAAGTTGGGTCCGGAAAAGGGTAATCTTGAATTTTCACATACTTGCAGGTGTGACAAACGGATGGAACTAAATGGAAAAGATGCATAATAAGAAATAATGACAAGTTCGATTAGGATCATATTACTGGGGTGACAATTGTATAAGGGTTGATAGTCACAAAATTCTTATAACAAAAAATCAATAGGTCATATTTTTTTCATTCCAATATTTAAAAATAAAGAGAAACGAATTAGAAGACAAGTTTTGCGTTTTTCAAAAACACCTATCTTTCAAGGAGTAAGCTGCCCAAGTGTCCACCGCCGACTTTGTTAGCTTTTGATATGTCGAAATATAAGAAATTCGTACATTTTCGAACATCAGCAGCAAAAAACATCTTTGAGAAATCAACTCCCAAAGTTGGTAGTTCAAAGTTTCACATAGTTGCAGTTGTCATAAACGGGTGGGGCAATATGGAAACGAAAAATAATGAAAGAGCAAAAGCCACATGATTTTGAAAATCTCCTAAATTTCATGGTTGGCAAATCTTGTAAATCCCACTACAAAATATCAGAATATAAAAATGTTGCAATGTTCGTTGATCATAGTGTGAAAAATGATTAGGTTGTCAACAACTTTTTAAACAATTAATGATATATGCAATACTTCCAATTCATGGCCCCATCCGTCTATCAGAACTGCAAATATGTGAGACTACAAAACTACCGTCTTTCGGTCCCTACTTTGGGGGTTGATTTCACACCTCAAAAACGTTGTTCCGCCGATATAAAAAATAGATGTCCTTAGATTTTGACGTAGAATAACATTTTAGAAGCTCATAAAAATCGTAGGGGTTACCGAGTCGCTTCCCTTGTCAAATGAGTGTCTAATCCCCTAAATCCCGTAACAGACATAAAGGCTTAGTCCTCGTAAACAACCAACAGAGAAAATACCGTTCAGGTAATATTTTCTTCTTATTTCGGATCTTTTCTTATAAAATGACTAAATCATTATTAATAAAATAATTGTACTTACGAGTAATAATATCACAACAAGAAACTCAAAGCACCTCACGGAGTCCCTACACAATGAACAAATCAAAGTGGAGCTACAGCGATTTTTAATTCGTAACTGACGCGACTGATTTGAGCGAAGGTCTTTTATATTAAAATATTTTGCATCCCGATTTCAAACGCGCTGCTTGATCCCGGCTCAGTAACTTTCAATCAGTGTTGCATTCTTGGTAATCAAAGTTTATTGTTACGCTTTTCGCGAAATCTGATTGTTGTTTTTAAATATCCAGCAGTTTGCAGATCTTGCAGTATGCTATGCAGTATCTAAAGTATATTCAGATAAGAGATGGACCGGACATAAACAAGACCACGTGATCATCGAACGCTGTAACATTCGGCAGGGACGTATTAAGAGTCACGCAGTACATATTTTAGATAGTAGATGCTGCTTTGCGTAACTTTGTAGTAAATTAGCACAATTCGATGTGTATACGATTGGTGATGGATATAGGATCATGTGGGGGTGGGGTAAGAAATATATAATGATGTAAATATACATAAGGGTTTCAAAATTTTCGCTTCGATTTCCAGCTTCGGATGCCGCCTGATGTTTGGTGAAATACAGTCGAATATAATCTCAAAATGGCGTTTAAATTAGCCTAAATTAAAAATAATCGTATATCTCTTAAAATTGCTTTTAGAATATTGATTAGTATATTTTTTGATTTCTAGGTAAATATGTAACCAAATTAAAACGTTCAAAACGTAAAAAAATGTGCATGGTTGAACATTGTCAGAAAGTAGATTCTTGAATAGGTTTTGCCAAAATGGGTTCAAAAATGTCAATAATTAATTAAAAAATACAGTAGCTTTATAATTACTTATAACTTACCGAATTTGATGAACGACATCTTTTATTGGAAAGATGAGCTTGATGAGCTTTCATCATCGCTACTGCCTGAAGCACCAACGTCAATAATGTTCCTCTAAAATATTGTCCAGTTCCCACATTCTCTTTTCAACTTTGTCTTTCACGTGCTTAATACAGTTTTCCCATTTTTGCGCTGTTATTAATTCTAGTGCTTCTTTGAAAAGTCCTTTGAGGTCACAAAATTTAAAAGTTGTATTGTGCTTAGATATATAATTTTTAACCTCTGCCCATATGAGCTCAATGGGATTAAGCTCGCAATGGTATGGAGGTAAACGGAGCACAGTTTTATTTTGACTTGCTGCCATTTCGTCAATGGCGTATTTTTGATATTCCGCCTTGTGATCCTTGACAATTCTTAATAATTGTACTTTCAGCATTGCTTCTTCAAAGTTGATATTTTTCGAGCGGAGCCAATTTTGAACATCAACTTTCCTTGAAGCCGTTGTTGGGACCTTCTCCATTCTTCGAGAATGATATGCGTATTATCCAACACAATTACTGCGTTTTCCTCTAAGTTCGGTAAAATTTTTGAAAACCACTGTTCAAACGATTCGCCATTCATTTCCTCGTTGGTAATCTCCAGTTTTCTTAGACTCAAAGCACCACAGACCGTCAACAACAAATCCATCCTCACTGCCAATATGGCAGATAATGAGCCTTTTCCCTTTACCTGGAAATCGAAGTACTAACTGGTGTAGATTTATTTCAATAAGCGAACCTTTTTCAAATGTTTTCATCACATTCAGCGAAAAAACATTGAGACATGAGTATCAGATTGCTATAATTGGGATTATTTAGTCATATTGAAAGAAAGAATATTGAACGTCGTATGATTACTTTAAAAAATGAATGATCAGGAACCTGAAATACGCGCAAATATTAATATTAACAAATTATAACTTTATAAAGCTTAAAGTATGAATTAAAATGATTAGAAATATTAGGAACGGTACACAATATGAAACTTAGTAACTTTTTTTAAGTTCATAATATTCGACATATTTTAAGATTATATTAAAAAATTATTGAAATATCGAAAACACAAAAACATGGCTTAAAAAAGTTCTAACAAATGAAAATGACAATAAAACATCCACGCATTTTATCGAAAGTTATAAAAGTTTTGTTACTTGTAATATGTTTTATCTGCCCCTGGAATTAATGTTTAGAACCTTGTTCCTAAGGTTTGAAAAACATCCGATTGTTGTCTATTACTCGTATTTACCTGCTGGATTTTTTAATCCGGTGGACAGTCCATCTAGAAAGGCCCTCCTGGATGAAGTTACAGAATTATCAACCCATACTTTACTTGTAGTGTGTCCTGCGTTTACCCACGTTTCATCAAGGTAATAAATCTTCCTGTTTTGATTTCTATATTTCCCAATTTTTGTTAAATAATCCCTCCTCCATAGCACAATTTTTTCTCTATCCAGTAGTAAACTATTACAACCCCGTTTTTTCCATTTGAAATTTAAATGCTTCAGTAACGCATGGAAAGTTGATCGTTTGAAATTTGGCAACGTTGTATCTCCATTTACCTCCTGCAGTACTTTATCTATAGTAGGTATTTCATTCCTAAAGAAGAATTCATGCACTTTCCTCCTAATCGCATGCTTATCAGCTTCAGTCCCTACACAATGAACAAATCAAAGTGGAGCTACAGCGATTTTTAATTCGTAACTGACGCGACTGATTTGAGCGAAGGTCTTTTATATTAAAATATTTTGCATCCCGGTTTCAAACGCGCTGCTTGATCCCGGCTCAGTAACTTTCAATCAGTGTTGCATTCTTGGTAATCAAAGTTTATTGTTACGCTTTTCGCGAAATCTGATTGTTGTTTTTAAATATCCAGCAGTTTGCAGATCTTGCAGTATGCTATGCAGTATCTAAAGTATATTCAGATAAGAGATGGACCGGACATAAACAAGACCACGTGATCATCGAACGCTGTAACATTCGGCAGGGACGTATTAAGAGTCACGCAGTACATATTTTAGATAGTAGATGCTGCTTTGCGTAACTTTGTAGTAAATTAGCACAATTCGATGTGTATACGATTGGTGATGGATATAGGATCATGTGGGGGTGGGGTAAGAAATATATAATGATGTAAATATACATAAGGGTTTCAAAATTTTCGCTTCGATTTCCAGCTTCGGATGCCGCCTGATGTTTGGTGAAATACAGTCGAATATAATCTCAAAATGGCGTTTAAATTAGCCTAAATTAAAAATAATCGTATATCTCTTAAAATTGCTTTTAGAATATTGATTAGTATATTTTTTGATTTCTAGGTAAATATGTAACCAAATTAAAACGTTCAAAACGTAAAAAAATGTGCATGGTTGAACATTGTCAGAAAGTAGATTCTTGAATAGGTTTTGCCAAAATGGGTTCAAAAATGTCAATAATTAATTAAAAAATACAGTAGCTTTATAATTACTTATAACTTACCGAATTTGATGAACGACATCTTTTATTGGAAAGATGAGCTTGATGAGCTTTCATCATCGCTACTGCCTGAAGCACCAACGTCAATAATGTTCCTCTAAAATATTGTCCAGTTCCCACATTCTCTTTTCAACTTTGTCTTTCACGTGCTTAATACAGTTTTCCCATTTTTGCGCTGTTATTAATTCTAGTGCTTCTTTGAAAAGTCCTTTGAGGTCACAAAATTTAAAAGTTGTATTGTGCTTAGATATATAATTTTTAACCTCTGCCCATATGAGCTCAATGGGATTAAGCTCGCAATGGTATGGAGGTAAACGGAGCACAGTTTTATTTTGACTTGCTGCCATTTCGTCAATGGCGTATTTTTGATATTCCGCCTTGTGATCCTTGACAATTCTTAATAATTGTACTTTCAGCATTGCTTCTTCAAAGTTGATATTTTTCGAGCGGAGCCAATTTTGAACATCAACTTTCCTTGAAGCCGTTGTTGGGACCTTCTCCATTCTTCGAGAATGATATGCGTATTATCCAACACAATTACTGCGTTTTCCTCTAAGTTCGGTAAAATTTTTGAAAACCACTGTTCAAACGATTCGCCATTCATTTCCTCGTGGTAATCTCCAGTTTTCTTAGACTCAAAGCACCACAGACCGTCAACAACAAATCCATCCTCACTGCCAACATGGCAGATAATGAGCCTTTTCCCTTTACCTGGAAATCGAAGTACTAACTGGTGTAGATTTATTTCAATAAGCGAACCTTTTTCAAATGTTTTCATCACATTCAGCGAAAAAACATTGAGACATGAGTATCAGATTGCTATAATTGGGATTATTTAGTCATATTGAAAGAAAGAATATTGAACGTCGTATGATTACTTTAAAAAATGAATGATCAGGAACCTGAAATACGCGCAAATATTAATATTAACAAATTATAACTTTATAAAGCTTAAAGTATGAATTAAAATGATTAGAAATATTAGGAACGGTACACAATATGAAACTTAGTAACTTTTTTAAGTTCATAATATTCGACATATTTTAAGATTATATTAAAAAATTATTGAAATATCGAAAACACAAAAACATGGCTTAAAAAAGTTCTAACAAATGAAAATGACAATAAAACATCCACGCATTTTATCGAAAGTTATAAAAGTTTTGTTACTTGTAATATGTTTTATCTGCCCCCTGGAATTAATGTTTAGAACCTTGTTCCTAAGGTTTGAAAAACATCCGATTGTTGTCTATTACTCGTATTTACCTGCTGGATTTTTTAATCCGGTGGACAGTCCATCTAGAAAGGCCCTCCTGGATGAAGTTACAGAATTATCAACCCATACTTTACTTGTAGTGTGTCCTGCGTTTACCCACGTTTCATCAAGGTAATAAATCTTCCTGTTTTGATTTCTATATTTCCCAATTTTTGTTAAATAATCCCTCCTCCATAGCACAATTTTTTCTCTATCCAGTAGTAAACTATTACAACCCCGTTTTTTCCATTTGAAATTTAAATGCTTCAGTAACGCATGGAAAGTTGATCGTTTGAAATTTGGCAACGTTGTATCTCCATTTACCTCCTGCAGTACTTTATCTATAGTAGGTATTTCATTCCTAAAGAAGAATTCATGCACTTTCCTCCTAATCGCATGCTTATCAGCTTCATCCAATGATTTAACAATACTTTTGCGATGTTTACTGGTCATTGGCTCAGAAAAGGTGTGATTTTTTTTGTATTGTCTTAACACATTAAACACTGATGCGCGACACACCCCAACTTTGTGAGAAACCTTCACAACAATTTCTTTGATGGTTGATTCCTCGCGCTCGATCTTATATATATTCAAAATGACCTCTTTCATTTCTGCACTCAGGTGTCTTTTTTTAGAGCGTTTCCTAGGTGGACTACAGGAGTTTACAACTTCATCGGAAGTATCTGTACTACTGGGCATTTTGCGCAAGCAGTTGATAACAATAACAATCAATAACAAGGTATAACAATAACAACGACAAACTCAACAACTTAATAAGATAACAAACGAAAACGTCCAAAGAAATATCAAATTGCAATGATGCACACGACATACGTAACACGTCTGAACCTGAATGTGACTCTGCCTTGATACGACTGCTCTGCCGCTCGGCATAGGCATTTAATTGCGAATTGACCAATGAGGGCTCCTGTTTTACGTCGAGACGGCGGCGTTAGCGTGAAAATCACCCGAACCTTTTGTTTACATCCGGTCTATCTCTTAGAACTGCACCGGATGTCGCAAAGAAATCGTCCAAATTAAAACTATACTGAGTGTTGATATTTAGAGTTTTTGGTATCAGGGTACTACAAAAATAGTAGTCGTCGAATTAGGACGGATTTATTTATACTGAAGCAGCCGCGTAGCAGAAGCCTAAATGCTAGAGGACCGCGGCTATTATGGGGACTTGAAGAAACATTGGTAGTCCGATTTTTGAACTACCTAAGATTAGTAGAACTGGTAAAAGCGTCTTCGGGCAGATTGTTCCGTAATCTCGGAACCCTAGGGACAAAGGAGCGGTCACACCACAAACATATGAGCAGTTCTCGAGGCTAGCCTTGTACAGTGTGAGGGGGTCAAGGTACAATATTGTGTTTTGGAAGCATTGAACTGTACCAGATTGTTGCGTCCCCAAGAAGTGATAACCTCTAGGTTTCTCGTCAGAGTCGGTTTTAGTCTTCTTTCCTCCAGCTCACCGGCACTCGGCTTGTCACTCCGAATTCCTGCATGTAGAATGCTATCATCAGCAAAGCTGTGGATTGGGTTGACCGTACAGGAAAGGAGGTCGTTGATATGTAAGAGGAAGAGTGTCGCAGCCGAGGCCGATCGCTGGGATCACCCGCGTTGATGTTGTGGGATGAAGAGGAGAACCCATCAATTACGACGGATATCTTCCGGCCAGCGAGAAAGTCAGCCATCCATCTGCAAAGCGTCTCTGGAAGGCCATAGGATGGAAATTTGCATAAGAGGGCAGGATGCTACAACTGATCGAACGCTTTCATGATATTGTAACAAGAATGAATAGTACTGTTGGTGTCATCTGTTGGGGACCGCGCCAGACTCTCCTACTTACCAGAGCTTCTTGGCCGATCTCTGTTTTTACACGGTTCGCGACCGCACATGCCGCTTGGCGACATCTGTTGAGGACCGTGCCAGTGATTCGCCTTCTAGATCGACGCGAAGTGACCTCGATGATTCTGGAATGCCGCTTTCATCAACGATGCGTACGATATAACTCGACGGCTAGGAGAGGGAAGCAGGGTTGGGTAGAGCAGAGTAGAGTATGGTTCAGAGAATGTTAAATAAATTAGTGCATTTCCTTTTGTGGAATCCAGTGTTTTAATCCTCACCCAAAAGAACCCAGAAAAACGCTACAATATCAAGGGCAACGACTTGAGCCGTATCATAAAATTGGATAAGCTTACTTACGTCTATGAATATAAATTAAAATAATATGGAATTCAAACATTTTTTAAAAAGTGCAATTCCCTCTTGAAAGTGCTTAAATATTTCTAATTTTGAATAGTGGAATAGTATGTACTAATCAATTATAGACTTTTATGAAAGACATATTTACAACCTTTGTGATAATTTACTAGAATTCATAAAAAAGCCAAGCTAGGAAGATTTGAAAGTATCAGGTATGTTAACATTAAACAATATTTTGGATTGAACATCTACTTATCTTAAAAAATAAAAGATACAATCATGCAATCAAAAATTGACGAAATCAAGTTCTCTATCCATCCTCAAAGTAACGGTAAGTTTCTCGTTGTCAGCATCAAATTTCGCATTTCCTCTCTGTGGGTCAACCGGGTGAGGCAGTTGAAGATCTAAGTAGTATCTTGGAGAAACAAGATTCACTTTGCCTTTCAATATTTTCAGCTCCATATTTTGGCGATTCTCTCCGGGTAGATCAATAGTTATAATCATATCTTCACAACTGGCTGTTGCTGGATTTTTGAAACCCATCTGTAAAGATATTCGTAAAACTTATGGAGAGCATAATTTTTAGGTCTTCACATCTAAGAGGAATGTCTTATAAGGAATATTTGTTGAAACATTTTATTTGCAGATTTAATATACCTGTAGCTTGTAGCTTCCAATATAGTTTTAGAGGTTCAAATATAGTAAGTAGCAAGAGAGAAGGGCAAGCGGTAATTAACAATTATTTGCTTACACTAAAAATGATGCTTCAAAAGTAATCAAGTTGTAGTGTTCATGCATTGATATAAATCTATATAATAATAATAGACTTTATTTAAACTGGCGGCTTTCAGCTAAAAGCTGATTTTCATACCAAACAGGGCCAAACGGAATTACAATACAAAGTTTGGGGAAATATAAACAATGCGATATACAGGGTGTTTCAGTTTATTGTTGCATAACTTTAAGATTCGATAGAACTTTTAAAATTAATACACAAAGTCTATATAAACATGGGTCGAAAAATGCGTGGCCTCCGAAATAGGGTGTGTTACTTTCTAAAATAGTTTTTTTTTTAAATATTTCGAACAATATTTGATGTATAACAGTGAAAATTGGTATACAAGGGTTTTTTGGTACGACAAAACGAACCATGGGCATAGTTTTACTGTAGCCGCTAGAGGGCGCTCTCTACTGTACCTGTAGTGTATTAAAATGACCGAAAATTTTTTGCTTTTTGAATAAAAAAACTGATTCTTCGCACTTTTCAACATAAAAAAGCTCTCCTGTGAGTTTTTGTTATAGTTAGCCGTTTTTGAGATATTTCGATTTTTAAGGTTCGATGCATTTTTAATTATTTATGATAAAATAATGTTAAAAGGTCAGTATCTCGATAATTTTTAGAAGTAGGCTGTGCCTGCAAATATTTTTGAAATTGAAAGCAGAATAAGGTTAAACGTCAATTAGTTGACAATTAGTTTTGTTGTCTGTTGAAACCTGTAACGTTTTTTTGCAATTGTGAATGCACGAAATTTAATCTCTTTTACCTGTTTTTTTTTTGTAAGTTTTATAAAAATGCCATTTTTATTCTCCAATCAAGAGTTAGCGGATATTCATTTTGTGTATGGCTTTGTAAATGGAAACGCAGCAGAAGCAGCCAGAAAATACGCACGAAGATTTCCAAACAGACGACATCCAACTCCCTCAGTATTTGTAAGAGTGCATCGCCAAATAATTGAAAATTGTTTTGGAAATCTCCAAAGGGATCAAAACATAAATGTTCGTCAGCGCAGATTTACCCGTATGATTCTGCGTGAGTTTGATACAGATCCGACCACAAGTGTTAGGAGAGTTTCTGGTGCCTTGGGAATTTCAGCAAGCCATGTTCACCGTGTTCTTAGAAATGACCATAGACGTCCTTACCATTTGTAACCTGTGCAAGGACTACAGCCAGGGGACGGAGAACGAAGAATCACATTTTGTCAGTGGATTCTTGATAGAACTGATAATAATAAGGAGTTTTTAAGTAACGTTTTATGGACCGATGAGTCATGCTTCAGTAGACGTGGAGTGGTAAATTTTCATAATCAACATATTTGGTCGCAGGAAAATCCGCATGCAGTTCGGGAAAGAAATTTTCAGCATGAATTTAGTGTAAACGTGTGGATTGGTATCTACCGTAATCGACCATTTGGACCCTACCTTTTGCCAGCAAGGTTAAATGCTGCGACCTTCTTGGAATTTTTGAAGGCTGAACATGCAAATATGTGGGATGATGTTATGTTAGATTTAAGAAGATTGACCTGGTTCCAGCTTGATGGCTGTCCAGCTCATTATTCGAGAATAGTTATAAACTGGCTGGACGAAAATGATCCAGAAAGATGGATCGGCCGTGGAGGACCAGTCGCCTGGCCTCCACGATCCCCTGACCTAAATCCATTAGATTTCTTTGTGTGGGGATTTCTAAAAGAAAAAGTGTACCAGACTCCCGTAACCACAAGAGATATGCTAATAGACAGAATCAGGAATGCATGTGATGAAATAAGTCCTTATTTGAATAATGGTATACCACGTTCGATCATTCGTAGATGTGAATTGTGTATTGAACAATTGGCTTTACATTTCGAGCAACTACTTTAGATTTTGTATGTTTGTCCATACTATCCAATAGCATTTTAGTTGTAAATAATTAATTTAATTTGTTAAAAATAATATTCTAAAATTAAACAAATTAATATTCTGTTTTTTGTGTTTATTTGGAGTTAGGAATTATTGCTGTGTTTAAAAACACAATGTAAACGATCATCCTAATTACTTGTAATGCCCAAATCGAAAATGTAAAAAAAAATATTATTGTCCCATAAATAATTAAAAATGCATCGAACCTTAAAAATCGAAATATCTCAAAAACGGCTAACTATAACGAAAACTCACACCAATTTTCACTGTTATACATCAAATATTGTACGAAATATTTAAAAAAAATCTATTTTAAAAAGTAAATTTAAACACCCTAAATTTCGGAAGCCACGCATTTTTCAACCAACTTTATGCATTAATTTTAAAAGTTCTATCGAATCTTAAAGTTATGCAACAATAAACTGAAACACCCTGTATAATAATAATAAACATATTAAGAACAACTCACAACTAATACCAAGATGCTAAAATTTACATGTGGAGATTGAGAATAAGTATGCAGGCGTGTTAAAAAAAAGAAGAATAAAAATATGGAAAATTTTAATTTCGACCCAAAAAATCAGATATAGTCACAGTTAACAGATACACCAATAGACAATCGACGGAAATTAGTGATATGATTTTTTGTGATGTCCACATGTCATATGACACCCAAAAATCATATCTCACTTTCGAAATTTTTTGCGGTTACAATACTGCCTCCCCCAGTGGCATAGGAAATAAAAACGAGATTTCGTTGTATTTTGAAATCATTTCTAAACTTAACTCCCACCTGTAAGAAAACATCCGTAGCAGTAACTTGCTGTTTGTAAGTTATATCCCAATGAGGAGTTTTCTTCCAATCTTTGTTAGATGCCTCTTTTAGATCATCATCAAAGTACAAATCATCATTTTCAGGGTCTAAAATTTCTCTTCTGTTCTTATCTGTGGCTATTTTGCTGTAAGGGTTAACTTTTTTCTTTTCCCCACTTTTTGATTCCAAACTATCGCAAATCACCCCATCTGAAAACATGCATTATTTCATAATCATTCAATGGTAAAAAGTTCAATAGGTCTACTGCATCCAAAGATGAAACATAGAAAAAACGACGATCTAGTTCTGTTTGGTTACAACTACGTCTTCAAAATATCCCCATTGTATTTCCTTCATAAACCCAACAGAAGATTTAATAAAAATTGGTTCGAGTATTGGATATTGCAGAGATCCTTGAGGTAAAATGTTTTTTCTGGATCATTTCTCACTTTACATATTGCTTATATATGTTTACCATTGGAGCGTGTTTGCTTCTTTCTTCTATCATCCTCTTCGCCTGAATCAGAGTCTCTTGTTGTAGGGTTGAACAAATTCACCAAATTTTCAATTTCACAAATTTCAGTCATTTTGTGACACTTTGAAATGAAGTACTTCAAATGTGCTTCAAATCCTTCAAATTGTAAATCAACTCTGAACTTATTGTATAGGGCAGTATTGATCAAATAACGGACTGGTTGCTATAGCTGGATAATAAGGTATCTTTTTATGGTGTTGTATGCACTTTATAAAAAGTCGGATGCTCCAAACGTTCACGTCTTTTCGATTTTCTTAATATCCATGAAATTGAAAAGGCAAAGCGGGAGTATAATAATGCTAACGAAAACCATAGGTGCCGTTCTCGCCGAGAGCATTAATTAACGTATTCAAACAGTTTGGCACTGCTGTCGCTCGTCGGTTTCCAGTTGCCCACCAGTTGATTAGAGATTTCATCTGTCGATATCATTGAGATACTTCAACGAAAGTTCCCACCGTTTCCTAAAAAATGTATTTATTATTTATTTATACACTACTCAACAGCAACAGCCATTTACAGAGTAGGAAGCAGTCCGAACTACAAAAAAAAACATAGGTAATGCATAATACGAGTACAAGCAAGAGTAGTTTGTTCAAACACAAAGATACTATTTACAAATATTTACAAGTGCCATAGTGCAGATAAAAAAGCAAAAGCAGACAAGAAAGCAAAAGACAAAACCTCACAGAAATATGAGTCGCCTAGTTTCAAAAACCACTAAGTCCAGTTTAGGATTTTTTTCAGAAAACGCAAAAGTTTGCTACCAGCCACAGAAAAGTAACCTAGAGTTTTTATATGCAGAAACTGATGGATAGTGACGTAATGTTTCAGACTGATTTCTGGGGAAAATCTCGCTTCAATAGTTGTTTGAGGAACTGAAAAAACACTTTGGATTTAGCTGTTTTTGAAAACAATTATGGATTTAGGGGGTTTTGCTTCAAAATTCAAATGCACTTGCAAAGTGTTCAGTCTGGAAACATTAGGTTAAAAGCAAATGATAAGACTAAATTATAGTGCTTCATTTATTCAACTTATTCTAACTCTCAAAAAAACGAATATCATCTTCCTGAACGTCGCTTATCTGACATAGTTCTTCCTCTCCTTCATTATCTTCACTATTGCCTTCTTCAGTCACCTTCCCAAATCTTCTGACAATGTCTTTGTAATATATTAGATTTTCTTTTTCAGCAATATTTTGCCAGTCGGCTCCAAAATGTTTTCGCAGTAGTACATCCACGTCTCTTATCTTCTTCGCATTTAACTCGACTTTATTCAATTCTATTTCTTCCGGGAAGATATTGGAAACTTGCTTCCCTCTTTTACAAATCCCCAATGCGTTGTTTATGTCCGAAAAATAATTAGGTTCTCCACGAATTAGGATTGTACCTTTTTTGCTTTTGCTTAGCACGATTCTCTTACACGAATTGATTTTGAAATGTAGAGAAGATGTTGGTTTCATAACCTCGTTTATAGTCTTGCTCCAGTTTAAGGCTTTCCAATCGACGCCTAGCTTTTTTATTTTTCCAAACTTTTCAAATATATACGTAGTATAGTACTCCTTAGCATCGACGATTCTATCTTTCTTCACATTTTTTTCTATTTGCGCGAAAACTCTATCTGGTGGCAGGAACGAATGGCCAGATACTGGTTACAAGTTGACCTTCTGAATATGTTTAGGTGCATCATCTGCAAGCCACTTGGCACACATTCCAATTATAGTGCTGTTTTTATTTTGACCGGTACATCCGTCAGAAACAAGTTTTATTTCAGAAACTTCATCTGCAATTTCCAAATTATTTAAAGTAGTGTAAACTGTGAAGTTATATAAGTAAAGTTGTCTTTTATAATAGGTGATTTAATGTGGGATTTTTGGCAAAACTAAATTTTTTTCATAGTCGTATGAAAGAGTTATTATATGAGCCTCTTCTTTCTTCAAAATATAAAAAAAAAGTTTGCCTTCATTTTGTGTAATCTGTATTGTGTAAGTATCATCGTTCTGTGTGCAATATTTTTTTCCCGCTTTATTTTTTCTTTATATTCTAAACACTGTGAACAGACATCCAGCTGTGAGACATTAAAACCTATATTAAAATTTAGTGTTGAATATGAATCGGAAATATGACTCCGAACTACAAAAAAACATACATATGTAATGCATAATACGAGTACAAGCAAGAGTAGTTAGTTCAAACACAAAGATACTATTTACAAATATTTACAAGTGCCATAGTGCAGATAAAAAAGCAAAAGCAGACAAGAAAGCAAAAGACAAAACCTCACAGAAATAATATCCAATTGTTCTGCAACGTCATTAGCCCTACCACAAGAGTAAAATAGAGGAAGAAAACTTTAAGATGTTTGTTCTAGGGTTAGGCAAATAAAAGTATCAAATTGTCTAGAATTTAAACATGTAACAAGAAAATTAAATTTATGCAATATATTGCAGCAAACAATACTATTGTGCAATATATCACGCACGAAATTGACGGAGCACCTATCACGCGTTTTCCTGCTACTTTCTAGATCAAAGGATTGGCGGGTAACTGTCTTTTCCTGGAAATGTAGGTACTTCAATAATCGACGCTGGATATTTTCAACTTTATCTATTTAAAAGTTATAGAAAGGCTGTCAAACAAATGATGCAGATTCGAGCTTTGAACGTACAGGTTTGCAATATAAAAGCTTAATTGTATTAATGTTTTTCAACTCAGGACCACAGCGTATAATAAAGCCCAATCTTTTGTAACTCTCAGCAATAATAGTCTCCATATGACTATTAACGCAATACTTACTATTAAAAATGACACCTAAATCATTGACTTCGCTTAAGCGATTGATAGGGGCACCATTATAACCAAATCATGAAGTTTGTTGGTAATTGACCATATTACAGGTTGCAGCATTGTAAGGTAAGCTATTTTTGCGACACAAGCTGTCAAGCATGTTGATGTTATATTGTAACTCTCCACAATCATCGAGATATCGAATAGGACAAAGAAGTTTGGGATCGTCGGCATATAGGAGAAACTGGACATCTAATTGTCAGTCTATATCGTTTAGAAACATATTGCAAAATAATGACCCCATGACAGACCCTTGAGGGACATCAGACGTAATCATATAACTATTAGATCTGAACCCGTTGAGAATTACGTATGTGACTCTCTCAGATAGATTGAATTTTATAAGCGAGAGGAGATGACCAATCACGCCCAAGTTAGTTAATTTGTCAACGAGAATGTCATGATCTACCCGCTCAAAGATTAATATAAACGATATTAATCTGAAGACGCGTGTGTATATTTTCAGATATACACTAAGCTACGCTGTTTCATGAAACCATGCTGTTGAATTGTTAAAGTATTATGCACATGCCAATAAACTGCATCATAAATTAGAAACTCAAACACTTTTGAAAAGTTGTTGACAATAGATTATATACCATTGCTAGGGGCTTTGCAAAATACAAAAGCTGGAATTGCATCTAGTCCGGAACTTAACTTCGGATTAAAATAGTTCAATATCACGTTTTCGTGTCATTTAAAGTGGAGAACATTTTTGAAAATCATACACTTTCCCCCTTTGACACTCCCGCGGGCATGCCCCTAGCTTTCCAGATACGCCACTGCTCGGTACGACATATCAGCAGATAGAAAGCGTTGATAATGTCGAGAATTGAGAACAATAACGTGAGCCTCTTTAAGCGTTTGGAGAAGAAAAGGAAAAATCAGGGGCTATCAAAAAAGTCTGAATTCATGGATAAATAGGTTGCTCAAGCTCATGGGGTATCCAAGAGGATAGGTCTTTTCATCGGCGCCCATATAGCAAAATTTCAATGGGGACACGCTAGACTCATAAGCCCTGACAACCAGTTTGAAGCAGGGTTGCTAGCTGTTTGAAGCGGTGAGAGAAGAAATGATTTCTATCTAGTGGTTTTGAGGGTCCTGTCTAGTTGCAGCCGTCTCAGAGATGCATTCTTCCCCTTACCCCGTCTAAGTACAGGTAGGCGGGCACCTAACTCTACGACACGTTGTGCAGAACGTGCTATCAAAGACATCCCTTCGATACCGCAGCATCCCCATGCAAATCCCGCTTGTGAAAGCATACCCTTCCATGCATGTCTATTACCAATTCTACTCTTTACTTGCACTTCAGTGCACAATGCATCCCAGATCATAGTCGTTCGTTTCGTATACAAATAGTAAATTCCATTCCCACAATATTAGGTTTCTTCATTTGAAAACTTCCCACCACGAAGAAAAACGAGGGACTCCAAAAGATTTGTCAATGGGGTCAACTTTTTAACCAAAAACTACTTCACCCTCTTTCCCCCTCTGTCCACCAGGGTCATCCCCTTAAAAGTTTTAAATGACAAGGGGTATCGAGTAATAGCTTGTTTGAAAATCGTTTATTTTGACGTTTGATTTCTTAAAATCGGTCGATTCGTTTTCAAAATAATTTGAAAAATCTCTATTTATCTTAATTTGTTCATGATTTAGACGATGTTCAAATTCCTGACGGACATTACAAAAACATGTGGAATATCATGGCAGCTTTCGATGATGCGTTGACGAAGTTCATCTAAACTTTCAGGTTGCGGAGTAAACACAATAGATTTCAAATGGCCCCATAGGAAAAAGTCTAATGACGTCAAAACAGGAGTTCTAGCAGGCCACTCTATAGGCCCTCTTCGCCCTACCCTTATCTGGAAACTCGTCGTCTAAACAATGCCGAACCGGAAGAACATAGTGAGGAGGAAAATAGTCGTATATTTTAGCCTAATCAAGTATGGGAATTACATCTTATTCGATTTGGCTTTCAATGGTTTCAGTCATAAACGGATTGATGGTATTTGACAACATATCCAAATAAATGTCTCCATTCAAATTTCCATTAATAAACAATGGCCCAATCACTTTGTTTCCTAAAATGCCTGCCCATGCAATAATTTTTGGGGTACTGGGTATGCTCCTGTACAAAAGCATAAGGATTTTCATTACTCTAATATCTGAAGTTATGCTAATTAAGAAATACATGTAGATAAATTGTGCATTTATCACTGAAGGAGATATTCTTTACATGAATGATATTATCTTTAATCGCTGCAGTCATTTGTTCACAAAACTCAACTTGCCTATCGAAATCATCTTCGGTTAGCTCTTGCAATATTTTCATTCTGAATGGATGAAATTTATGGAGTATAGTTACTGTGTGTACAGAGCCTAATGAAATACCAGTCGCAGCAACAATTTTGCAGATCCAGTTTGAGTAGATTTGGTAACAAGGTTCAAAACATACCTGTCTGGCGTTAAGCGTTACGGCAGTTTGGCGAGCACGTTTATTTTGGGCACCATAAATTAGAATCATTTCCACTGTTTCGGCTAGGGTGTAAACCATTTTGGAAGTAAAATCTGAATCAATAAATAAATTTTCACTATCCTAAGATTGTCACAAAGGTAATTGACAGCAAATTAAATTCATCCTTTCCCTTAGCAACAAATAACTAAACAGGTATAAAAATAAATACCGTTCGCCCAGGATATCTGTGTTGATGAAAATAATACGGAAAAATTCGGTTTGTTATTTTGGTTGTCGCCACGTCTAATCTCCCCAATTGCTGTTTATGTTGGTAGTTTCCGTTTTAAATTATAAACGAATTGTAGATTTGGCAAACAAGCAACATTTTGAACACTTATGGAAGCAACATTTGGACACTTATAGAAATAAAAAGTGATATTTTCGTATATTTTTGTCTTCTATCTAAACAAATTAAGAAGAGACTGATTTAAAAAAATCAAACGTCAAAATAAAGGACACGAAAAACCTTTCAAACAAGCTGTTACTCGATGCCTCTTATCATTTACAATTTTTAAGGGAATGACCCTGGGGAACCGAAGGTGGTAGGGCATGAAGTAGTTTTTGGTTAAAAAGTTGTCTCCCTTGACAAATCTTTTGACGTATCTCGGTGTTTTTTCTTTTAATCAGTGGTTTTCGGTAAACACCCTGTATACCAAGCCAGTTAAAAAGAATATAATTACAATCAATTTTCCTTCGATGCCCTTTCTTGTATCTCGTGGTCCTTTTTTTACTAGGATTTACCTGTTCACTTGCACACTTATTCCTCCCATTATACTCGTAAGTTGTAATACAGTAAAATTTAAATTTGGAAGTTGGTTATAATAAATGGTTGTCTTAGTTACGGTTTATGAGATATAATTTATTTCTATCAAAAAATTACTCTATCAGAAACCAAGTTTTTTTCCGTAATTAATAATGTTCATCTGATTATTGAGCTGAAAACTGCATCAAAATTGGTCAACATTGAAGCGAGATATCCTGGAACTACGTTTGCAGTAAGGTAGAAAGTGCTCTTAAGGAGTAAAAAACACACACTGTTGTCCACGAAAAGGACTGTCTATTAAAAATATTTTACATAGTTACATAGACATGCAATCAGATTCTGTGAGCAGACGCTTGTTTAAGCTCATAGACACAGGTTTTTTAGTATTCTTTCACAACCTTGAAACTTTTCTCATCAGCGGATGAGTCTTCCTCATTTATGCTTGTCACTGTCAGTACGACAACTTCATTACCTTGTGTTAATCTATATAAAACATAGTACTGCCTGAAAATACAACTACAATATCGACAGTCTGTCAAGTTTATTCGAGTATCTTGACAAAGTGAATGAAAACACCGGCCTCCTATCACCAAATTCGTGTATGTGAGCAAGGGCGAGTAGCAGCTGCCTTATACGTCGGCTTGTGCAGTGTGCAATTTTCCCTATAATATATCTTTTTCCATCGCAGCTGCAGAACAGAGAGGCGTTATTAAAAAGACTGATACTGGTTTAACTTTAAGGGCATAAGGTGTGGATATTCTCAAGTTGTCATCAAGTTCTCTTTAAAAGTAGCAACAGTTACAGCATATAAAGCATACAAGTGGATTAAATCAAATTGCAAATTGATAGGTTTATTCGGCTGTCAATCAACAACTTATTAATATCTGACATGTGAAGAAATATTGGGTTGCACTTTGACACTGATATCTTTAATCGTCCTATTTAATAGACAAACAACAGCTGAAAAAAACTGACATGCCTATAAAAATAGGCAGTAATAAAAACAGCAGTTGAATGATTGTGATTTTCATTGAATTCGACACCTATAAACGCAGTCTGCTACTGAGGCCTACAAAACTTCATGGTAATCGAATTTTTCCATTTACATGAAACTTGAAAAGTTTCTCCTTTTACAATTATTATTATTGTCGCTACAAATTGCTTGTCCTAAAATATCTAACAGCTAATTAAGAATCACATGTCCGTATTTTCATAATAATGAGAAAGTGTTTGCTTTTTATAACAAAATTTAAACAAAAGGACCAACCAAAAAAGATGCTTAGTCATTAACAGTAAAATGTTATTTTACTATTTTTTTAATAAAATAATGATGTGCGGTATGCATTGATCACAGTTCTAACATAGTCCACCAGGAAACATCTGTTCAAATTGACTGTCGTACCCGCGCGAAAATAAGCATAGGACCCGTGGCGCCCGCTCTCTATGGCAGATGTCACCTGTTCATCACCTGGAATCTTTGTCCTCGTTCTTTTAATTTTGGAAACAATCTCGAATTGGTCTGAGGAGCAAATACCGTTGACATAGTGGTGAAACATAGGCCCGACGGTAGACTGTTAGAGAAGTGTCACCGATCAGTCGGATAGTTTTCCTCGGAACAGCATCGAGTATGGTGAATGTAGTCAGGGCGGCGGCCACTCATACATGTAAGAAGTTCTCAAAGCTGGGTATTATCTGGACCTTGTACACTATCAGAAGGTTATGCGGAGAAAAATACTTCAAATGTTTAAACGAGATAACCTGACTTTTCCCAGCAGCTGTTGCGATTGACCAGTTGTGTTCTTGCCGAATCAAATCCTAAGTGATCTGGACTCCGACCAGTCTAAATGAATCGCTCTTTGGCAGAACTCGGCCACCCATCGAAACTGGATGAATGCCAGGGCGCTTCTTATTATTGAAGATACAGTGAACTGTACCAAATTGTTCCGTCCTCAAGCAGTGATAACATCTAGTTCTCTCGTCAGAAAAGAAATCGCTACCAGTCTTTTTCTCTCCAGTTCATCAGCAGAGAGCTCCACTGAATGCTTGCGTATAGAGTGCTGCCACCAGCAAATCTATAGATCGGATTGATCGTTCAGAAGAGCACGACATCGATATTTCCAGAACAATGTTCGTGCCAAGGCTGATCCCTGGGGAACATTCGTGTTGACATTGTGGGATGAAGAGGAGAACCCGTCATTTACGACGGATAGCCATCCAACTAAAAAGCTTTTATGGGAGGCCATAGGATGGAAGATTGCATAAGAGGGCGCCATGCCACAGCTGATCGAAGGCTTTTGTGATATCAAAAGCACCGACTTATTGTTGATCGCTGATGCCGAAACCATACTGCCTGTCGCTAGTCAAGCCGTTATGTTGGAGATACTACAGAAGCTCCCGAATGATGCACTTCTGCATCAGCTTGCTAATCACATCTGGTTGTAAGGGTCGGTCTTAAATCATTTTTATGTGACGGACTGAACATGAGCAAATTCCTATTTCTCTGCGAGAGCAACGGATTTGTAACCTGCTAAGTTTGACATATAAACTTAATATTTTGTAAGCGTAGCCTACTGAGATAACTTGTTTTACTGCTAACGAAGTTCATCGAATAAGCATATTAGGTCAGGAGCGGTGCATAGTGATCAACCCTCGTACGACAAATCTCATTAATTGACCCAATCACGCTACAATTGATAAATGTCGTAAGCGCACCAGAACCCCAAGACTAATCACAATGGAACACGACGAAAACGCATTCATGTCTTTTCTTGAACCTTTTTTCTCATTTTAAGCGTGTTTCCAGCAACGAACGTAGGTAACGTGAAAAGAATAAGAAGTAGCGAAGCGTGATGTCACGCTGCCGACTTGTCTTGAGTCGCGCTCTTTTCAGAATACAGAATCACAATTACTATACCCGCGACACCGCGACGGTAAACAACGTTAAAATTCGAATACATTTTTATCGCCGTCAAGTTTTTCGAGCAAAAATTTCTGGTATCGTGAGTGGTTGTGCAGAAGCTCTATAAAGCATTACATTGGTAAAAATAGTGAAAGTGATGCTCGTATTTCTTCAGGACAACATTGCAGTAGTAATAATACAAAATATCATTATCAAGTTTTTAAGTGATCATTTTCATTAAAATGACATCACATAAAAGCGATCGAATAAGTTCTACTAAGCTTAGTTGTGTCACTTTTTTATCATTAGTTTAGCACTACCACGTCTAATTTTATTGCAGTTTTGAGGCAAATATAGTCTCAACCTTTCTCTACAGCAGTGTTTCTAAAGTGAGGTACTAGGGAGGTCGCTAGAAATTTGGCAAAATAAGACACAAACACCATTTTGTTAAATCATGTATGTCTCTATTTTAATGAAGCCGTAAATAAAAATTAACTAATTACCAAATGAAACAACACCGAATATCAATAACACATAAAAGCGACCGAATAAGTTCTACTAAACTTAGTTGGCGTGTCACTCCTTTTGATCATTATGTTAGTATAATAACAGCAGTGTTTCTGAAAACGTGGGTTGCAGTGTGGTACTAGGGGGTTGTTAGAAATTTTGCAAAATAAGACAAAAGCACCGTTTTGTTAAATCAAACGAAACGAAGCAAAAAACTGGATATTAATAAGTCTAGCAGGGCAGGTCGCAATTATTAAATTTATTCAAATTAAAGTAGTAACGTACAATAACATTTGAAAAGCCATCAGTTACTTGTAAATTAGCACGCTATGTTTGACTCTATTTTGGTTTGGGTAATGAGTAGGGGAAAAAAGTGAGTCATGGACAATGATTTAACAAAAAGGGGTCGCGCTTTAGATAGTTCGAGAAGCACTGCTCTACACGATGCTTTAAAGCGCATCGCGATCGAATAAGGAGTGCCTGAAGTAGGGTACTTAGAGTGACATGTGCCAAGATAAAATATGCAGAGGTCAAGATCATCACGTGAATTTGCTGCTAAAACTCTTGTGCTACTTAAAACTTTTATCCTTATTTTATGATATTCTGGTGTTGTAGTGTAGTGTCCTATGACCATAATGTCAGAACAACGAATCTGACTTGTACCCCCCGTTGTACCCCTTTTCTCATTACCTTTCGTTTCCAAGGATGAACCACTTGAAAGCATATTGTGGGCGTGCACAGAGATTCACAATTAACTAAGAGGCCATTCTAAGACGTAACCCTAGACATTTCATGATGAAAAACAGTGATCATCATTGCCGAAGTCTAAGAATCCACAGCGACAGCTCCGATCCTCTGACGGTTTTTGTCTTATCATAGAATTGGCCATAGACTACATAAGCTAACCCTAAGAGTGAGAAGTGTTTATTCTAACAGTTTTGATAGCCTCAAAGAATACGTTTCTCCCTCATTGCATTTCAGGGTGGATTATTTGTGCACAGTGGAAATAAGCAACCATTGGCGTTAAGGCCGTATCGTCAGTCCTTTCCTTTATCGCCTCCTTGATTTTCATGGTTTTTTACTCTTCCGTGCCAGCGCTCTATTTTGAGGTTTGTGTTATAAATATCTATTTGCATAAAATTGTTCGTGCTTTTGATTTATATATCATAACCTGACAACAGGAGAGCACTGACGCTGACACGGAATAGTACAAATCTATAAATATCCCAACCTTTCTGAAGGGAACGAAAGACAATGAAAATCAAGGAGGCCATAAAGGCGTCCTACACTTGTAGGAACCACTGACGATACGGCCCTTAGTTGCCGACTGCCATGTCATCTCAACATTTCTCGGACCTTCTACTTGTACTATTCCCCCAAGTGTGTACCTGATTCTGCAGGGCCTCTGTGTTTAACCGTTTCGTCTCCTTCCTTGCTAATGTTGTGGTGAAGCAATTTGCAATCACTGGTGTACAGTCCCACTAAAGCTTTAAATAGTGAGTCTGTTATCTTTTTTGATTGGTAGAGTTGCCTTAGCATGATTATTTTTGAGTTCTTTATTTACGTCCCTTATGATACCAAGACCTTCCATACTAATTTCGATGTCGAGAAAGTGGAGTCAAATGCTTTAAGCGCGGCTTGACTATCTGAAAAATATTTATAATCCTGTGACTCAGTTGCCGTTCTGCGATTATTCTGGCACACCGTTCTATAATATACAGCTCTGGATGGAAAATCAATTCCCAGGTTTCTCAGGTAACTGATTCATCAATCTTAAGCTTCGGCACGAAGATACCAGCCACAAAGCCTACTTAGGTCTTGAAGCCATCTGTGTATGCACAGATATCCTTCCTTTTTGGCATTATATCGAAATGCATTCCCAGACTGTGGTGGTTTTGTGTTTCCACCAACATATCCGTTTCCTCCATAATGATATTGCCCGTTATATCATTTGCCACATGATGTATGTAGCCCATAGGCTGACCTTCTTGCCTCTAGAGAGTATCATATCCATACATTTAACTCTGTTACAGTTCTATTGAATGCAATTGGTTGATGCGTCATTTTGTGAGAAACAAATGGACATTTGTTGGCATTTCAATGATGTGATGGATTTATTGTCGGCATCTGTGTGATATTCATGCAGCGTTATCAGATGCGACAAGGGCAACATTATGACACTGGATATATTCCTCGTATACTGAATCATAACATGTCGGTTGTACAGTCGTGCTAATATCAAAGACACCCTTTACCAGATTAAGGTCCAGAAACTTGGTTTTTGAGAATTAACAATCGAAATGGATACATTTGATACATTTATCACTTTTACCTATTGATATTCGAATGATCACACAAGCCAACAAAAGTAAGCCGACCCTCTTATCCAGAAACCAGAATACCTATACTTTCTCGAAGGTTTTTAATGTGTTGAATCCGAGTTCGTCGTCCAAATCTCTCAATTGTTTCTATTTTCCGAGATATATCAACTTGCAAAATGGCGATATTTGCGTATACATTTGAGGTTATGTAGCATTGCGATTTATATGCCTTCTACAAAAACATCATCTCGAAGTACAAGCCTTGCCCTTTTAAATGCCGTTGAACTTGCTTGAATATCTTTTTATTTCGCCGAGATATGGTGCATTAAACATTTTCATTTTTCTGATCTAGGTTCCGCTTCTATCGGAAGAAAGTAATTTTTTAATTTAGGTTAACGTTCTGACAGAAACTGGACCGATCTAGATCAGAAAAATCAAAATTTGTGCCACACCTCAGCGAAACAAAAAGATATTTAAGCAAGCTCAACTGCATTTGCAAGTGCAGGGGCTTGTCCTTTGATATAATTTCTATGGGTTTTTGAAAAAAAATCGCAATGCTAAGTTGATATATCTCGGAAACTAGAGCCAATTTAGCGATTTCGACCACGGATTCGGACTCAGTGTATTAAAATCCTTCGGGAATGTATACTCTAGTTTCTGGCGAAAAATCTTATTGGCCTGTGACAACACAAACAGGGTCTCTAAAGAGTTGTACTCAAAATTATTTGCCTGTTCACAACGGCACGGCTATTATGTAAAAAACCTAAAACTAGGTAGTTTACTTACTATGATCGCTATTTGCTGATGTTTAAGCGACAAGTACAGCTGCAAAACAAGTTCACAACAAGTGTACAACAGCTTGTGCTAAGTTAACATCTTGTAAAGAAACATACGAAACGTAAAAAAATCGACGAAATGTCACTTTTTAGGATACGTAATACCCGTGCGGCAGAGATGGACTTATTGTGTTGTAATACTGTTGACTGTTTTTACATTTTCAGATAGCTTAGCCCATTGAGAAAAAGTAATTTAACTTAATGAGATAAAATTCGCTATTTTTGATTAACTTAGAAGTGACGTAGAAGATACAATATTACAGAGATTACTTTTGGCTGAAAAATTCCATCTGTTCAACAGTTTCTGCAATAGCAAATTAAATAACATCAGAAAAAATTAATTCAACTGAGATCATAGGTTTATTGACTTTCATATATTTCAAAAACTTAAAGGTTTCAAGCTTTGCAGTTCTTGAAGTTTCATACGTTCGATTTTGTAGACATTTGAGATCTTACCATATGTTGGTCTTTTGACGGGACACTGTTTCCATTTTTATCTGTCGGACCTAAGGTAATGAATAAAATCCAATTTTTGTTACTGCTATCGCTTGCAAAATTAAAAAGTTAGACTTCCTTATACCCGCGTCTGAACAGCGTATTACAGTCAACTGCAACGTTATCCTGTAGAAAATACACCGGATGCAATTTTGATGGATAAACAAAAATGTGACGGTTTCTGTGATGGCTGCGCCCAAAAAGCCTCAAAGATTGTGTGACAGGGTAGTGCGATTTCCAAAAATTGTGGAGTGTGACCATATCGATGTGGATTCTCTCGAAGAATATACTGAATCGGATGACCATAATGTGAGTACTTTATGATTTTATTTTTACTCTTTTCGTTCTTTAAATGAATGTACTGTTTCCAGCACTTTTGAACAATGTTAATTCTCGTTACTGGTTTATAGAATAGAAATCGCTCAGATGGAGGAATAAGAACTGAACCATTTCCAAGAAAATTTGTTATGCAAACGTTGAATTCCGCGATTGTATACACTATTAACCGCCGGCTAACATCAATTACTGCTATTTGCATTTTTAGAAGTGCAAGGCGGAAGTTAAAAGTACACAATACGTGCTAAAAACAGCAATTTCCTTGCCTCCTTGTGCCAACTCTCATTTAGACACTGCAGGGTGTTTCCTCATTCAATGTCAATAATATGTAAAGAGTCGATTTTTGGATCCATTTTAAGACAAAAACTTCATATGAACCTATGTGTTAAACGTCTTAACTTTTGAGCTAGAGAGTCGTAATTTTATCAAAATTCTATAACCTCTAAGATTACGTTCTTAGATATTTCAATCAAAGTTGGCTTACCTGTATGTATGTATCTAATATTTAAAATATTGCGACCCCTAAAAATAAAATGAAAAAGCAAAAATGTTCATGCTGTCAAGTTCCTAAATATTTTTCGAACATTAATACAATTGTAAAGCAATTTAGGGAGTATTGTTATTGCAAACCTTTGTCTTTTTTAAATGTTGTCCAAGCGCGCGCTCAATGTACATATATTCTGTTTGAGTGCGAGAGAGATGCAGCTCTCGGTTGCACCGCCCCTATGAAGCAGTTTCAGCTACACGGGGTAAAATGATATCTCGAAAAATCACGTGATTAATGGACGATCCGTTATTGGCATATTTTGGAAAAGTCTAAATACCGATTGCGCAAATCTAACCGATCTCATGTTCAAAACAGTCTTCGGATAGCTTCAATTATCAAGTGAAAATTGGATGACACTAGATTTAAGGAACACATTGGGTTCTGCTTAACTTCCCAATCAGCTCTGACACCGTGGAGGGTATGGTGGGATTACATTTCCGCTTTTATTGTCCTGCCAGGGGCATGTAATCGCTAAAATTTCTGAAAATGAGATATTTTGTTTTATGGATGTTTTACACTTTACGAAAAACCATGTCACTCATTTCCGTCGCTCTGTCTGTTATTATGTCTGTCCGCTCATCATTGACCCATCTATAACTTGGAAAGTTCCACTCGAATTTTGATGAAATATTTGCACATGGTTACTGGTCAGCCAAGGATGAACAAACTATGTAGTGTTTGAAAAGCGGCCTTGTGGCGGCAGAGCTACAGGCAAAAAACGAAAAACAAATAAAACACGCTCAAATTTTATTTTTTGACGTTGATCATTTATAGAAAAATTTTTGCAGGGGCTTAAAATTGGATGTTGTGGTTGTAGGGAATGGGATATATGTCATTTTTTTGGTGTCAACGATTTGTACATTTCCAGCCCGGTAATTCTCCGCGCCTGTTAGAAATATTTCGTATGTCATAGATTTCTCCGTAGATTCGCTTTTAAAACTTGAATGATAGAGACATATTTTTGATATACGGGTGTCAGTCAGCTCTACGAGCGGAAGTCTATCTGCTTGGAGTGCTGGATTTCCCAGTGCTGCGGCAGGCAGAGTTGCCACGTTGCTGGCAGGCCAAATCACAATGTTATCAAATCTGAATGAGCCTGTTTGTCTGACACGATCAAACATTTTTTTGAGAGGGACTAACTTGTACCGAACATATTCCTTAATGATTTGATGACAGCGTTTCGCAGAAAATGCAGAGTCAACCTAGCTGACGTCATTTTTTATGTACCTACCTATATCCGCAAATTAGGTTGGTTAGACAATAAGCTCGAAAATTAAGATCATGCACTTCCATGACTATAAAAACAGAAGTTGGGAGTTTTGATTTGAAGTTAATACCGCATCCACCATAGTCGCCTAGATCTACCCAATTTCCACTTATTTTGCACCCCTCAGAGCAATCTCGGTTTGCAAAATTAGCAAATATTCGAATCTAATGAGACTGATCAAAATGACATATCTCGCATTTTTTAACAGAACATCGCCAAAGTTACGTAAGCGGCGTTGTTATATATCCAAAACGTTGGAGAGAGGTTTTAAAAAATAGATTGACTTTCTTGATTAAGTGTTCCTTATTGAGCCAGCTTGAGCCAATTTTGACTATTGCACTTCTATTCCAGGACTCTGACCAGGATGCCAAATCTCAATCACCAACGTCTAAACCTACTGCAACCAAACACCTCAACCTCAACGGCATCTGTCGTCGAGATCAGCCGGACGACTGCTACGTGGAACAAGTCGTCCTCAACACGCATTCCTCAAATTCCCTCAACGATCTGGAGGTACTCACATTGCGGTCCAATGGTATACAGAACTTCCCGACCAGTGTGCTCAGGTTGCAGTCTTTGGTTACCCTCGACCTGGCGGACAACTGTTTGCTTACTTTGCCTACTGAGATCAACATGCTTGAAAGGTGAGGTGGGAACAATAATAGCTATAGCATCGGCATGTAATTCGTTCAAACGCGAACTCCAAAATACCAAAACTGACACACTAGCAGTCTGTGTCCTATAAACTATACACGGAGTTAAAATAGTATTCATGTATAAATTTCATCACGCCCGTTTTCGACTTGCTAACTTGCCCTATTCAAACTGAGCACACAAAGTGGTATTAAATGATTTGTTGAGCAGAGTAGGTCGCAGTTCAAGTTCTCTCATATGTTGTCCACGAGTGTTGTCCAATTGTAGGTTCGGTATATTGTCAGTTGGTTGTCAAGTAGTAGGCTAGGTGACAGTTTTGACACATAGACTTAGCAAAATGACATTTCAGTCATAAGCATAATCATAAGAGTTCAAGTCGAGTCAAGTCATCGTTGGTTGTCAGAGTGGTCCGTGTGTAACGCTTCCTTTCCGCAAAAAGTCCAGAAAAGATGGAATGCAATGAAGATTCCAACTTTTCTGCACAATCACAGAAAGGGGGTTACCATTAGCTTCCGGTAGCTCAGTCGGTGGCATGAAGACATCTACAGGCGTGTAGCTGTGTGTCGACCATGGCATGGCTAGAGGATAGAAGAACAAACAGAACACAAAAATTTAACAGATTTTATTTAACAAAAAAGCATTTTCATTACATTTGAAACTGAAATTTTAAAGAACAAAATAAGTTTTAAATCTTTGGCGCTGCTATAAAACTATACACTTAACTTTCGCTGGTCCATTTTGACTGGACTGAAGCGAGGATGGCCAGGTGCTTGAAGCGGAGGTCCCAGTTATGAGGGGTGACCTCACATTTAGTGGCTTCAAAACCAGTTGTAGGCGAAGTTGAACTTAAAGGTGAAGCGGTGAAGCGGAAATGTTTCCAAGTAAAAAAGCTAGAGATGGGATTAATGACTTGCGATTCTGAAATGATAATCGAGAAGTGATTTAATAAATACAATCGGACGGTGAAACCGTTACACGTGGGACCTTAGCTCTTGAGTCACAGTGTCAGTTTGTAAGTCTGTCAGGTCTCTTAACCCAGAAACCAGACAACTTTAAGGAAAAAGGGAAGGAAATGAGAAAAGGAAGAACGAGGGCAAAGAGGAAGAATAGAATCTTTTAGGATAGGCAACGATTAGACGTTGTTAAAATCACTTCACAGATTTTGAAAATATTTGATTTTTTCTAAAGATTTTGTCAAAATGCTCCAATTTTGGTTGTTCTAAGTTCACGAACTAATTTTGATTACAGTGCGAGCTGCGGCCTTTTGTGCTTGCACCTTATTAATGATTTGATCCTCCCCAGGTCCTTTACGCATTTTAAGGTCTTTAATATGACCTTGAATCTCTGCTGGTGTGCAATGCGGGATCTCGGGAGATTTCGCTGATGTGCTAAGCTGAACTTCGGTTAAAGAATCTTCTGATGAAGAAAAATCAGCAACGGTAGCGCGACTGACATATCTCCTGATAAGACAATGCCTCCAGGACCGTGGATGTGCGGGATTTGTTCTCGCTTTCCGTTTCTGAGCGACTTCGCCACCTTCCAAAGAGGAATACTTGAATCAAGCATCCCCGCCAGAAAGTCGTTCCATTGCTCATTGCGGAATTCATGAAGAGCATTTCTTTCTCCATAAACAAGATTCGTCGTTCTGCGAATGTCATCAGGATGACAAGACCTTTTCGCTTGCTTAATTGCAGCCCTTTTATCAGAAATTTTTTGACAAATGGCTGCTGGCAGAAAAGATCTGCCGTGTCGCTGCACGATGTACAGCTGCACGCTGCAGAGCTTGCTGAACAAAACTTGTCCACTCCGCTTGAGCCGCATCTACACCGTTCTCATTATCTATGATCGGAAGATTGGGGAACTCTCTGAGGAGCGACATGTATAGCTCCCAATCAATGCGTTTCCTTGGAGGGGTTGCATCCTCCAAGGTTTGCTCATTACCCACTTCCAAAACGGCGGGAAGGTGATCGCTTGAGATGTCATACATGATTCGAGAAGTGATACTGTATCTACTGTTTTTGGATATTGCAAAATCAAGAACGTCAGGTACCTGAACGTGATTAAATGTATGAGGTAGCCATTTCGTATCACATGGTTGTAGAGTCGGATTCCATTGGTAGAATTTAACCTAGAATACCATGCTCGATATTTGCAGTTGAAGTCCCCTGCCACAATAAGTGGACTCGAGCAGTCTAAAAAGACTTCCAGATCCGACTCTTGCAGCCTGATACCACACCTGACATACACTGATGTGATTTTTAACGGCACACCTCCCGTCAAATTGACCACCACGGAAGCCACTTCGATGCTCTGCATCTCAGCGTTTATGCTTCTGTGGTAGTCAATACCGCGTTTCACTAGCACTGCCAAGCCGCCACCCCGTCCAGTCAATCTATCAGCTCGGATAACATCATAATTCGGAAAAGCTAGACGATATCCCGGATTAAGTAATGTTTCCTGCAGCAAGGCCACATCTATACTTTCGTCCAAAAGAGCTTGACGAAATTCCCTTTTTTTGGGAATGTCCCTTAGACGCAAACAATTCCAAAAAAGAATTTTAACAAATGCAGGCTGTCTATTGTACCTAGCCATTTGCAGGAAAGATTGCCTGCTGTAAGGACCTTAGCGCGGTTGCCAGGTCCACATTTTGTGTGTTCGCAGAAGATCTCACAGAGGGTACAGCCCGGATTGCATCCCCAGCTGCATCCGCGTAACTTACATTGCGACTTTGCGCTATCACTTGCAGATTTTTCCTAGTGGCAAATCTGCAAGTTCGGCTGTTTATTTTTTTATTTATTTATTTATTTAGCAACATCCAACATCCATAGCCAATTACAGGATGGATAAACATGAAAATATAAACAAGCAAAAAACCCTCAAAACAGAACTGCGAGGAAAAAAAGCGTTGTAGCTTTACCTACCCAGCACTCAACAATCGCACCGGCAAGGATTAACGAAAATAAGCATTAATGTCTCCACAAAACGAAAATATATCTAAAACGCTATTAACTGAATTATAATTACGGCACATTATATAGATAGGGGAAAACTTGAGTATGTCAGTCTTAGGCCTGGCTGAGTAAAAAGCTAAACTAGTTCGGGACGCTAATCTAGGAATTAAGAAGTTAAGTTGTTCTAAGGTGACACTGGAGTCAATAATACCATGGATGAGCTTGTGAGTGAACTTAAGTGAATTCTTTTTGCGTCTGCTGTCTAAATTATAGATTTTGTGTCTCACCATCAACTCACTATGAGGAAAGCCAATAGCAGAATATATCCCGTCAGCTTTTTATGAGAGAGGTATTTTAAAAACTTTCCTTGAACGGACTCTAAGCGGTCAATATATATTTGATGATGAGGATACCATACCAGGGACGCATACTTAAGCTTAGATCTTACATAAGCATAGTACAGTATTTTCAGTGTAAAGAAGTTGTGGAAATCACCAGTATGTCTTACAATAAAACCATACGCCTTTGATGCAGCCACAACAGCATTTTCGATGTGATAGGAGAAGGAAAGTTTTCTAACAAATGTGACTCCCAAGTCATTAATTGCATTAGGTCTGTCAAGTTTCCTGTCACCAATACTATATTCATACATCATTACCCCTGGTTTTAAAGAAATCAACAAAACGTGACACTGAGCCGCATTCAAAACCAGTCTGTTTTCACGACACTAGTTGTCAAACCTTACAATGTTGCATTGCAAGCGATGACAATCGTCAATGTTAGAGACTCTACAGAAAAGTTTCATATCGTCAGTATATAAAAAAATCGACATCGATAACTTCAGAAATATCATTTAAGAACATAATAAATAACAGAGGTCCCAGAGATCCTTGAGGAACACCGGACATTACAGGGTATTCGCTTGACTTATGTCCATTGCACATATCATACTGTTTCCTATGAAATAAATAAGATCTGAAAAATAGCAACAATGCATCTGAAAAACCAAATCTAGATAACTTACACTTGGAGATTTTTCCTAGTGGCAAATCTGCAAGTTCGGCTATTTGCTGGGTGCCCCCTTCACAGTTCGCGCACTTTCATTCCTTTTGTTCTGTTTGAGGGTATAAGTGGGTCATGTGGTCAGAAGCACATTTTAGACAGTTAGGTGGTGCAGTGCAGTAAGACTGCGCATGCCCATATTTTTGGCAGCGGTGACACTGCCCGAAGAGTCTTGAGTTCTTTTGAACTTCGACTTGGATAGCCAAACCTAGCAGCTCATGTTCATTAAACAGCTGCTAAGATTCTTCTATCTTGGGCAGTATGACTACCAATAAAGGCATGGGCGCACCGCCGCCGCGTTTCAGGCGAATTATCTGCAGGGGGGCCATATCCCCTCAGTTGCAACTCTAAAGTGTCGCATGTACTCCTCTGATTACAGCATGAATATTCCTCTCCGAGCGTAGGAAAGTGTGGTGGGGCACCTGTTCCTCCCTGAAGAGACGAATAATCCTGCGGTAATCATCCTCGGACTTGGGAATTATCCTGATTCCTGCGCCGACGACAACCGCGCGTTCGATTTTGATGCCCAAAGAAATAAACTTGTGATTTACACCTCGCCATCTGGGTTTTTGTTGGAGTGTTTGGGAAGAGTGTGTAGTATTTAGATGGGAAGGTACCTGGGTTTTCAGTAGGAGGTCTAATTTAACTGTTAGGTCGTTAATTGTCCGCTGCTGAGCTTGGATGATCATCGTCAACCTTTCAATGGTCTTCTTAGCATCGTCCTTTTGACGGCTCTTGTCGAACCATCTCCAATTCGACTCTCAACTTCTCTACGGTCTGCTCCCTCGACTCCGTCTCGATGGCCATGGTGGAAGCGGCATTTCCTGACCCCCCTGGGTCAGTTTCCATAGTAAATATCTCAGTTATCTCGATTTTCGTCTCAAAAATTTTCAGGATTAAGGGTTCAAAGTTACGAACTTCAACCATAGCTTAGATAACAATCAGCTCTGAAAGAATTTTCCTAACAGTGTCAAAAACGGCCGCCATTACGGGGGAAAAGATCGGATGTGAATTCCCCTTGTGCAACGATGAAAGAGGTTTTAGTGCTCAGCAGCAGGCCATAGATATTCTTTGCAATCGTAAAATAATATATTTCGATATAATCTTCGATATAATCTTAGCTTGTGTGAATCAATGATGAAAAGGAGTATGTTAGTCCAAAAAAAGAAGCGACAGATGAAAAAGCTTCAAAATAATGGTGAAAGTATTTACAACAAACGGAAAATATATCAGCAGACTAGAATAGACAGCTAAAGTAAATATTTTGCGTTTATTGTAAATACTTCCACCATTACAGATTTATTTTCAAGCTATTTTATCTGTCGCTTCTTTTTGGACAAACATACACCTTTCTATCATTGATTCACACAAACTACACTAGATTATGTAAAATATATCACTTTACGATTGCAAATAATATCTATGGCCGCTGGGCATGATACGTGGCAACACCGGCTGCTGCTGAGCACTAAAACCTCTTTCATCGTTGTACTAGGGGAATTCACATGCGATTTTTTCCCCCGAAATGGCGGCCGCTTTTCACACTGATAGGAGTGTTTTTTCAAGGCTGATTGTTATCTAAGCTGTGGTTGAAGTTCGTAACTTTGAAATCTTATGATTATGCTTATGACTGAAATGTCATTTTAATCTTAAGCGATAAGTAATTTGGGAAAACATTCCAGTTGCAAAGGCTAACAAAAAAGGTTTGTTGTAAATAAATATATAAAGTTTTATGGAACTTCAATATGAAAGAGATGAAATTACTATGGCATGACGTGAATGTAGACAATCTTAATGGTGAACCTTCCATCATGTACGATCTTTCAGTACATTATGCAAGTTAAGCTGTTAAGCCGGACCTTTTTGAAAACTCTCACTCTGTTCCTCGCTTTTGTTTTATAAGTATTTCTAGGATTTAACTGAAAATAAGAGTGTCTGTTACAAAATTGGTGCATAAATAGAGTGTTACAAAATTCACTTAATAATTGTCTTTGAAATTTGGCATTTTAAAGGTTGTCAATTATAAGTGTGTACGAGGGATGTATTTTAAGTTTTGCATATGGAAATAAAACAACACGGTAGGTAGTTTTAAGTGACTTTATCGTTTTTCGAAGTATTCTCCGCGAAGATTAATACACATCTGCATGCGCTCGAACCAATTTTCGAAGTACTTATTCCACTCGTTTGCTGGCAGATCCAAAACGGCATTTTTGAATGCGTCAACAGCTTCTTCTGGTGATTGGAACCTTTGACCAAGCACTCTGTTTTTAATTTTCGGGAAAGTAAAGAATTCGCTAGGACTTAGATCGGGACTATATGGAGGATGGTCCGATAATTCCACGTTTTCTTCCGTTAAATGCTGCCTTGTTTTATGGGCTGTGTGCGAGCTTGCATTGTCTTGGTGGAAGATGCTTCTTCTTTCGGGGTTGATTTTTCTAAGCTCGGTGATGACTTTTGCCAAACAAATGGTGGTATACCAATCTGCAGTAACAGTTCTTTGTTTATTAAGAGGAATTGTTGCAATATGACCCGCTTTTGACACAAATGTCGCGACCATCTTTTTCGAAACACTTCGAGAACGGATGACTTTTGTTGACTTTTCTTCACCTTGGAACACCCAAACAGCCGACTGTCGTTTATTTTCTGGTTCGTAACAGTAAATCCACCAATAACAATGCTGTACACATTTTTTTAGTTTCCGGAATTGAAACGGTCAAGCGTTTTTTGACAACAATTAACCCTGGCTGCTTTCTGCTCTTCAGTCAACAGGTGGGGTATCCAACGAGAAACTAATTTTCTTACTCCTAATTCTTCATGTAAAATTTTTTGAATTGAGGTCTTTGAGATCTTCAAGGACGCCTCAATCTCGCGATATGTCACATGTCATTCTTCAATGATGAGTTTGCGCACAGCATCGACGTTTTCCTGGGTGACTGGCGCTTTTGGTGCACCCACCCTGGGATCGTCGCTAAGACTCACTCGCCCACGTTTGAATTCTCCATACCAACGGAAATTGTCGACTGATGTGGCGCTTCGTTTCCGAAAACAGACAGTAACTCAGCAAGGCATTCTTGTTGCGATAATTGTCTCTGCAAGTTGTAATAAATTATGGCGCGAAAATGTTCTCGGTTGAGTTCCATTTTTCTAATCACTTGGTGACACTTAAAAATTCACTGTAGTGAGAACACTGCACGTATTGTTGTGAAACTTTGGATTTAAGTTTACTAAAGAGTGAGGTTAAGATTCAGTACTGACGTTCGATCCGCGCGGCCTACTATGTTTCTATATGCAGAACTTAAAAGACATCCCTCGTATATCAGAAACGATTATAGAAACTATTTTCTTGCTGTTCGGTTTTCCACAATATTAGAATTAGTATGCTAATATTGTGCTAGTATTTTATTGAGATTGTTGTTCCAGCAGCTTTGGCGTTTGTGCTGAACTGATTCCTTACTTGAAAATGTATTCCAAGTAAAACCAGGGACACTTATGACACATACAAGTTTAGACATGCTCAGTTGGCAGCGAAGCGTCAGGTTAATGGTTGGAGGGAACATTTTTTATGTCTTGTTTCCATTCATGCCTGTTTGGTTTCCATCATTGTTTTGTGGTTTACATTGTAAACCAAACATTTTGAATCATAAAGTGGAGATAACTGCATTTTTGTGCATTTACATTGCAGTGCTATTTTTCCGTTTTATTACTCGTATAACGTACAAGAAACTTCCAAGAAATTCGTAACACAAAACCGTGTGCCAAAATTAGAGTTTTGTAGGAGAGTGAAATATATACTAAGTGACGTAGAAAATAAAACATCCTGCAATAACTTGTTAGGTATATAATTGATCAACATTTCAGAAAAATTCAATCGTTGAAACAATGTAAAAAATTTATAATTTGTTGGGCCTCCACGATGCCATATACACTCAGAAACACGGGCATACTCGAAATCAGATGATCAACTTCTGCTGAAGAGGTGCTAGAGTCTGTGGTGTGAACGGAATAATATTCTTCCCACAATATCCCAGATCAGTTCAATCGGGAAATTTAGATGCTAAGGCAACAAGTCGACTTGATTGTCTTCTAAATTGACCAATGTAATTCTGGCTATATGTGGTCGCATACTGTCTTGTTGGTTGGTGAGCATCACCTCCAGGATGTAATGCACGACGGACTGATAAAAACCAAAGGTAACCTCCTTCTATAAGAAATAACCCCGGAACCATAATTCCATGTGGTACACATGCGTTTGGATACAATATTGAAAATCCTGACTTTAATCTCGTTGGTATTCCATTCGAGGCCTAGGTTCAGCTGCTTTCTGAACCAGGCTAGTCGATCCCTTTGGTGCCTATGAGTGAAAGGTAAGACAAACTGAGAACGGTGTGAAGTAAGTCCAAAACTGTTTTCTGAAAAACTGATCGTTTTTGACCTAACCTAAGCAAATATATTCCTAGAAAATTTTTGTAATAAATTTATTATTACCTTTTTCTATGTCAATTAGTATATGATCTTAACATGGATTAAATATTTTACTGGAACAAAGCTGATATATGTATAATCTTATTACGTTTTTGGAAAGTTTCCAAATCAATTTTACAGGAGCTATTTTGTTCTATATGCTTGAAAAATGTCGTGAAGTAGATTGACTTTGGGTAAAAAAACTGATAAAATGTGGGCGTGGTTATGTACCCGTTCAGTTCACACAATTTTTCGCGAGTCATTCTCGGGACAAATTGCGGAAGCCTCAACGTCGTCTCGTCCCCATCATCCCTAAATACGGAGTTAACTGATCAGAATGTATGCATGAACAAACTTATTTTATAAGCATCAAAAGCAGTCAGAATTTGGGATCACTCCCCGGGGAGAATATACTAAGTGGCATATAAATCCGAACACCCAGTTTAAATGGTTTTATTTTAATAAAAGTTGGTGAATATATTTATCATACTGTAAATAACAAGTGAAACAATTTTCAGCCTTATCAGTTGGACATTCCGGTTTTTATACTGCTTTTTTTTAATTCACTAACGCTCTAAAAATGAATATTTCAGCCGCAGTAAAGAATCAACGTTGGCGGATTTTGGTTCTTGACATCCTTTACGATCGGTTACGATGCCTAGAGTACGGAGACCTGTACGATTTCGTCAACTTAGTGAGTTTGATAGGGGCCGTATAGTGGGACTTCGGGAAGCTGGACTTTCTTTTCGGGCAATTGCAGTTAGAGTGCAAAGAAGTGTAGACACTGTGGTTAGGTGTTGTCAGGCATGGCTTCGAGAAGGCCGTACGCAAAGAGCAATGGCACTGGACGCCGCCGTAGAACAACAGTCCGTGAAGATCGCCGCCTAAGATTATTGGCCTTAAGGGACCGTTTCTCCACTACCAGGTCCATTGCAAATGAATGGTTTGCAGAACACGGAAGACCTATTGGCATGCGAAGTGTTTACCGACGAATGAGAAATTTTGGCTTGTTTTCATACCGGCCACACTGGGTCCTCCCTTTAACTCGAGAACACCGACGTAATCGCCTTGAGTGGTGCAGACAACGGTCACTCTGGGATCAGGAATGGAACAGTATTGTCTTTAGTGACGAGTCTCGATTTTGTTTGGGCGTGCACGATGGTCGTGCCAGGGTTAGAAGGCGACGTGGTGAAAGGAGGAATCCACAGTTTTTTGTTGAAAGACATGTTCATCACACTGTTGGAGTTATGGTTTGGGGTATGCTTATGGTTCCAGGTCACCTTTAATCTTCATCAGAGGTAACATGAACGCGCAGCGTTTTATCCACGAAGTTCTAGAACCCCATCTTTTACCCTATCTTGACACCCTGGCATATCCAACTTTCCAACAAGATAATGCCCGACCACATGTTGCAAGAGTCACAATAGACTTCTTTCAACATAATGATGTCACATTGTTACCATGGCCACCAAGATCTCCCGACTTATCCCCAATTGAGCACGTGTGGGATATGACGGGTAGGAGATTGCTCAATTTGCAACGTCCTCCTCAGACTCTAGAAGCACTTCGAGAGGAGTTGGTGGTTGCCTGGAATGAGATGCCACAGGAAGACATTGACCACCTGATCAGAAGCATGCCTAGGCGCGTTGGAGAATGCGTAGCACATCAGGGTGCATCCACACATTATTAAAGGTCAAAGGGCTTTAAAGCAGTGCAATCATTTTGAAATTTTTATCATTTACTTATTATGCTTCATTAAGTACTTATACAAAATTTTATTAAAATAAAACCATTTAAACTGGGTGTTCGGATTTATATGTCACTTAGTATACTATTCTCATGTATTGACTCCCTGCTCGCTGGTATATCTATATTTTCTCTCACTCATTGTTATGCAGCAAGCTTCGGATTCTCTACCGAAGAGAACATTGGCAATGTAGAATTATCCACTAAAAAAAACTAGATGGTGCCAGTTTTACCCTTGCCTTATGCCTAAGAATGTATAAAATATCTGTACAATTCACCCATCTTTAAGAAAACTATCTTTCTTCGCCACGTTATCCTTAATTGTACCATTTTAATGTCACAGATAGTGGCATAATAACGGCATGTTGTACGATAATGAAGCAGTACAGTATACAGAATGAAGATAAATTACTAAGATTGCGAAAGGCCCGCGTTAGAGGCGTATTCCTGCTACCCACAGACATACAAAACAGACGGCGAAGAAGAAGACGCTTCCGTTGCTTCCTTCAAGCTTGGTCAGCCTTCCGGAACCACTTGCATACATTAAAAATCGAGGCGGTCGGTGATTGGCGCGTGCCGAAAGCAGTGCCGTATCACAACTAACCAAAAGCAGTTTTTCAATACAACCGAAATTAGTTATCTCTGCATACCAGTTCAAGTCGTGAGCTCGATCATACGATTATTTAAGCAACAAATTTTGAGCAAGATATCTTTGTGAATGCTATTTTCTTTTTACGTCAATAAATCTAAACATAAGTACACGATCTGAAGCAGCCGTCTCATGCTGCATCCATTTCGAATTCACAGTATGCACTCTTCAAATCTAGAGTCGCAAGCAATTTTTAGGCTGGTAAAGCATCCAGAGCGTCATTTATTCGGGATAACGGATAGCTTTTTGGAAAGTGGAAAACTTTTATAGCCACTGTCTGACAGGAAACGTCAACAGTAAAACCCCTCAGTGGTTCACTGCACATCCCACCACGGTAATGCTTGCTTCTCATCTTGTACCTTGCTCAGCATCAACCGCCTCTCTATTGGTTGAATCGCTTATATGCCGAGCGTGATTTCAAGATGTAACCCATCTAAGGCATTCGAGTAGATGATTATGAGTATCCTCCTCTTCCTTGCAATACAGGATGACTTTGAAGTTGAGTCATTAATTTTCAGATAATAATTGTAGAAGATAAACCAAAATATGTGTGTAAAAATAAAAAAAAAATGTTACCTTCTTTTATAAAGTATCCTCCCGACAAGTATTTCAGTGCGGACCTGTATTTGATCGTGCGGTCTTGGAGCACCGGCATGCCCTCCTCTGTGAGGTCTTAAGTCACCTGATTCACGAGCCCTTTGTACTACACCAGCATTTTCGTAAACATGTGCCATTTTTTATTTCGTTTGAGCCACGCAACAAACACCACTATTCACTCACGCGTTACCGACTGACACATCGACTGAATACAACTGAATAAAATTGTACATTGTAGTAAAAACATCGTTTCAAATTCTTTCGCTTTTTTGTTTCCGATGCGATGAACGGATAAGGCGGATTATATCCGTTGTTGCCAAACACGAGCACATAATATTATTATTGAGACAGGGCGGTACTCAAACTTCTAAACGGCTATAACTTTGTTACTTTAATTTTACCAGAAAAATGTTAAAGGAAAAAACATTTCTTTTGATCAGATCTACTCACTGTTAAAATAAATGACTCAACTTCGAAGTCACCCTGTATACTCAATGCACGCACTTTCTCTTTCCTACCCTCTTCAGGTATCTCTGTGGGACACTGGGCAGTATAGCAATTTATCTTCACTACTCCCTTGTGAATCCAAGTTTCAATATCAGATCGCTGTTCTTGAAAAAGATCACCAGTGCTGTCAAAGCCCTGCTAGAAACTTCTAACACTTTTTCCTCCATGTCTTTGACAGTT